GAATCTATCGCGGAGGAGGTTGGTGACCAGGTGATCATGTTCACAACCTACAACGATTTGTGGAAGGACGCTGGCCCTTACGGAGTTGAAAAGTACTGGGGTATTTTCAATTAGCAGTATATAACCCACCAATAGAACTACCCAACAAATACCATTCATTCTTGATTCAATGTAGTAACACTGAAAATGTATTGTCATATTCGGTTTCCAACGCAATAAAATGCGACTTAGGTAACAAGTGAGTTCCAGCTAAAGAGAAGGAAACAAGCTATCGGCTCATCACTTTCAAAGGAACCACAGCTTATCTTTGTGGTGCGCTAAGTGCAACACCTTGCTAAACCACCAGTCTTGCAGTTTGCAAGTGGCGGACTAAGGCCAAACGCGCCTTTGTTGTTGTCGCATACGATTTTAAATACCCTGTGCATGCATATTTCTGCGCTGCGCGAAAAATAAATTGCAGACGTGTCAGGAAATTGTCGAACGCGCTTTGCTATACGGCTAATATCCATCCGTGCCTCCCATCGCGAGAGTATTGTACATGTGGCTCGAACGCTCGCCAACATTTTCTACTCTGTACATATTACACACCAATTTCTTCCTTTTATTTGGATCTTATCTTATATAGAATATAATTATAAACAACACAATGTCTTTTGCTAACAAGGAGTACCCGAAGACTATCTGTCTTTTCGATGTCGATGGCACCTTAACCCCGGCCAGATTGGAAATTGACCCAAAGATGAGGGAATTGTTGGCTAAGTTGAGAGAAAAGGTTGTTATTGGTTTCGTTGGTGGTTCTGACTTGCCTAAGCAGGTTGAGCAGTTGGGTGCCACCGTCTTGGCCGACTTTGACTACTGTTTCTCCGAAAACGGGTTGACCGCTTACAAGTTGGGCAAGGAATTGTCTTCTCAGTCCTTCATCGGCTGGCTCGGCCAGGAAAAGTACAACAAGTTGATTGTCTGGATCTTGAAGTACCTCGCCAACTTGGACTTGCCAGTCAGAAGAGGTACCTTTGTTGAGTTCAGAAACGGTATGATCAACATTTCCCCTGTCGGCAGAAACGCCTCCACCCAAGAAAGAGACGACTATGAGAAGTTTGACAAGGAACACAACATCAGATCAACTATGGTTGCCGAGTTGAAGAAGGCTTTCCCAGACTACGGCTTGACCTACTCCATTGGTGGCCAAATCTCCTTTGACGTCTTCCCAACTGGTTGGGACAAGACCTACTGTTTGCAGCACATTGCCGACCAACACTTTGAAAAGATCCACTTCTTCGGTGACAAGTCTTACAAGGGCGGTAACGACTACGAAATCTACGAGGATGAAAGAACTATCGGCCACGCTGTCAACTCCCCAGAAGACACCGCCAGAATCTTGAAGGAGCTTTTCAACTTGTAGGCGTATCTTTCGCTTTCTTAAATCTTTCTACGTTGCTTGAAAATAAATTTTGATACAATACGTATAGCTCATGACCCCACGAAATGGCAGCGCATAGAGACATCAATTAAACCAGAAGGTCATTTCTATCCAGAATCTCAGGCTTCATCAGAGCCGCTCGTTACTCTTCACGTTCAAGATAAATCAGATTTTCGCCGCATGCCCCTTATACTGCTACAATCCATATATACACCGAGTGGTCGAAAAGACACTTCTGTTGCCCACTACCATGTTTCGAAGCCCAACTCAAGGCTACTGTCTTTAATAAAGCATGATTGATAATACAAACACAAAGAAACCTACATAACCGAGAAAAAAAAGCAAGAAATGAAAATGCGGAAGCTTCCAGTTATTTGACTATACAGATATAAACATGCAACTAGAGACTAGAGCACAATAGGTGGAAAGGATGTTGAAGAAAATGAAATTAGCGAATAATTTATTCCTCATCTTCGGCACCTTCGTCACCACCCTTACCCTGGTTCTTTCTCTTAACTCTACCGGCTCTACCACCACCGTATGGGGAGTTACCAGCAAAGTCAACGTGCTTCTGGGAGTCCAATCTAACCATGAAGGATGGGATGGAAACGATCTGCTTACCAACGGTGATGTGTCTCTGGGAGATCAAAACTCTAGCGTGGTGAATAGATCTGGCAAGACCCAACTTGAAGACCTGGGTCTGCAATCTTCTTTCCAAGAAATCTTCAATCTTCAAGGCCAAGACGTAATCCAACTTCATCTTGTCTTCGGTCAAGACACCGACTCTCACCAATCTTCTGATCAAAGCGTTACCTTCGAACAAACGCTTTGGGTCCTTTTCGTCTCTGGTCAACAAGTCTCTGGCGGCTCTTCTGATCTTGGACAATTGGAAACCAATTCTGTAGATTTCTCTCTTGTTCTTCAAACCGTATTCACCGGCCAACTTGAGTTCGGCATCCAAACGAGCGGACTCGTAAGGGCGCTTTGGGACGGAGTAAGTCTTAGAGTAAGTCTTTGGGGCTCCTGAAAAGATGTTAGAAATTGTCACTTGCATAGATACGACAAGAATAACCTACGAGCACTACACAGAAAGTCAAAGCAGGACACCAACAGTTGCAAGAATTTGATTGTATTCTTTTTCGCTCATAGAGCGCCACAGTATATATCATCTGCTCATTATACAATGAGGCTTGCTAAGTAGTGTGTGAGCACAGTTAGCCCGAACCGAACAGAGTTTAGACAAGAGGGAAGTCAAGCGAAATAACCTTACGGCTAAGTCATGGCTTCTCTTAGCCTAAACATCCGTTCAATTGGAAAATGAAGACGAGGAAATGAAATACAGGTTTGAACAGTATTTGCGACCAAAGTGTCGGGTGTTTGACGCAAATTTCCTAGTCAGGCGACATAGGGTACTGTAAAAACCAACTCAACATCCCGTAATCACATCGTGAAATGATAATACCTGGCAAATTCTTGATCTCGTTGGCTATTCCCTTTTCTTTTCTGTGAGGGCCCGAATCCTCAAGTGACAACAGTGTACGCTTTAAGCATATTGAAAATCACTTTTGAATTTAATAAGTTTCATTCTTATCGGTAGTGGGAAAGGTAAACATACTTGGCATTTTGAAAGATCTGGTTAACTGGGAGAAGAAAGGCGAGAAGTGAGACAGAAAGGAGTGGAAAATATTTAATATATAGGATGCGCGAGGAGGTAGAATTTTCCAATTTTCGCAGAATCCGTGTAAGATCCGGAAATGTCTGGGAAAATGCGCGAACAGAATGTGTTATTTGAGACCAGTAGTATTTTGCTCTCTTTTTCACCTATTTTGTGACTGCCTTTTCCAGGATGATGCATGTCATGTGATTGGTAAATGCACGTATAAATATGTAGTTAAGGAGTTGTATTTACTACACTAGCTGTTTAATCTGAGTAGCGCATGTGTGTCTCCAAATAACCGCGTAATATAAACTATAGAGGGTACGGTAACGATCAAAGGCTCTGTAAACTGCAAATCTGTCGTCGATTGGTCGGAGGTAAGGCTGTACGGCAGCCTTGAACACGCAGGCTATTGGTCTCATTAAGCTTGATTCAGAACTCTGGGGTCTACCCCCTGGTAGATAAACTTTAACAACTCATTGACACTCATCGCCAGCTTCTTCAACTCTTCCTCCTTTCTCTTGGCCTTCTCGTCCTCTTCCTTTGTCATATCCACATCGTTGTCGCTTGCGCCGTTGTTAATATCGCGCAATTCAGCCATCGTTTGGAACCCATGAAATTCGTAATTGTCCCGCTCCTCTGTCATCGACTGCACGCACCAGTCTACAAATTTGTCGTTCAAGGACGTGACGTTCCCACTGGCAGGATTCGATCGGATTTGTTCATCAACAAGCTGCATTGACTCATTCACCCAGTCGACAACCTCAGGAACGGTTTTCTTTCTTAGCAATGTAGTCACCAAGTTCTGTTCCTTTGTTGTGGGGAATTTTGGAAGTGGAAACGCGTCATGGGTGAGAAGCACCGACTGATGGGCCTCCAAGGACTGGACAATGGAAACCAACTGGTTATTAATCACGTTGTACTGGTTCTGCAACGACACAAAATGTGGCAAACGCGAGGGTTGGGTAGGGTCGGCGGGGTTGGGGTTGTTGCTGGGAGAGTTAAGAGAGTCAAGGAGTTTGGCCAAGGATTGTGTAAGCTGCGATAGTCTGGTTCTAAGAGACTCCAACGGTTCAACCGGAATCAGGGCAACGTCAACGTGGTTAGACGCCAAAGTGGTCGTGTCCTTTAGGTTGTTCATGGAGGAACCATTACTATTGTTGTGTCGGTTGTTTCCTAAGGCACGTTGGAGAATGGACGACATTGGAGAGCGTTCTTTAGATATTAAGTTGGGATATTATCAAAAAATAGGTTGATACTTTTTTGGACGAGCTATGTGGGAGATACTGGCTTTATTCAATTAAACCAAAGGTTTGTCTTAAGGAACCGAGTTCTATTACATGTCTGTTGTTATATCACTCCAGGCTGGGGACAGTGCTCATACCAGATACTCACACGACTTTCTATAGAGCTTATCACGTCTAGCTTTCCTTAGTTAGACGGCTGGGGGGAGGGGTGAAAATTCGGAGTGTTAGATCATTAAAGAATATCAATGAGAAAATTTTGGCTCTAAGATAGCCTAATATTAGTTCTCGAGAGTATTACGCTAGTGTAAGAACTTTGTATGCTTTTTTTGCGGCGCTGACATGCTCTGACCTCCTCATTTGATGGCGCCAACAGCATTTAAAGCCTGTAAGTAATGCAGCTCTCATACAGGCTTGAAGCCTGCCGGATAAATCTGCTCGAAGCAGATTTCTGACAGCGACCTGCAAATAGCTTTCGAAGACAGGCTTTATATGTGATACATCACAATTTGACAAAGGGACTACGAATTCATAAAGTTTCCACCTGGCCTTAGTTTACCAAAAATAAACAAGAAGGACCGCCACACTTAGACAACCTTTTCTTCCTATCACCCCCAACTCCTCGCTTACAAGTCTATCTTCATTGTTACGCCGCACGAACGTTTTTGTTTCTTTTTCGACAAGTTTTTCGGTGCACAGACCAGAAAAAAATTAGAGCGGCAATCTTGAATAGTCAGCCTCCGAGATATCTTGATAAGACTCCAATTTGACGGAACGATAAACGCTTGTTGACACTACCAGACGCCAGACGCCGATAGTTCGCTGTTTCCAGATAATAAAACACCTCCCGTGGTTCCGAGAAGCTACAGTTACAAGACAGTTGAATCCTCAGCACAATGGTCAAGCTTGGCAAACTCGAAAGTGAGGCGGAACAATCCTTCAAGTTTTTGGGATCCGATGAAAAGGTCAATCTCAAAAGCGTAGAATCACTCCAGGAAATTGATGTCAGCCCTGTCAAGATTACCAAGGACAACTTAAAGCAGACCAAACCATGGGTGCATTTCGTGGCCGGTGGCATCGGTGGGATGGCCGGTGCGATTTTTACCTGTCCTCTTGATGTTGTCAAAACCAGATTACAATCATCCGAGTACCGTGAGATGTACAAACACCAGTCTGTGAAGATTACTGCCAACAGCAAGGGAATCCGCAGCACCTTCATAACTAATAATCCGTTGACCCAGGCTGGGGTCCACGTCAGCGAGACGATGGGAATCATCGGTAACGTGTACAAAACTGAGGGGTTCCGTGCGTTATTCAAGGGTTTGGGTCCGAACTTAGTTGGGGTAATTCCTGCCAGATCCATTAACTTCTTCACCTATGGGGTAAGTAAGGATGTGTTGTCACAGTACCTCAATGGCGGAAAGGAGTCCACCTATATTCATTTATTGGCGGGTATCTCCGCTGGTATCGTCACATCCACTGCAACCAACCCTATCTGGTTGATCAAGACCAGATTGCAGTTGGACAAGGCGAAAAACAAGGCGTATAAGAACTCCTGGGACTGCTTCACCTCTATTTTGAAGTATGAGGGTGCGGGTGCCTTGTATCGTGGGTTGAGTGCGTCCTACTTGGGCTCCGTCGAGAGCACTATTCAGTGGGTGTTATACGAGCAGATGAAGTCATTGATTAACGAAAGATCCTTGAAAAACCACCAGGAGGGCAAGGTCAGAACCTCGTGGGACTCGGTGATGGAATGGTCCCAGAGATCTGGTGCGGCCGGTGCGGCCAAATTCTTTGCCTCCTTGATCACCTATCCCCACGAAGTTGTCAGAACAAGATTGAGACAGGCTCCGCCCACCAAGGACGGCAGACCAAAGTACACCGGCTTGATGCAGTGCTTCAAGTTGGTTATCAAGGAGGAGGGATTCATCAGTATGTATGGTGGGTTGACAGCCCATTTGTTGAGAACCGTGCCGAACTCTATCATCATGTTTGGTACATGGGAAATTGTGATCAAGTTGTTGTCAGACGACGATAGCGTTCCGTTGAGTTAAAAAAACTCACAATCCTTGTACATATTGAGAGTTCCGCTCTTTGAATACGCCTGTATATCCTTCCCATACCTTTGCACGTTTACGACCCATCGGCCTATCGCCCTGTCCATACACCTTTACATGCACGATATTGATGCATGTAGAAAAGTTCTTGTACATATTTTGACTCTCTGCATTATTCTATCAATTTCTTCCTGTAGTGAACTTGCAGTGCCGTGTATAATACCACGGGCTTGCTCCTTTCTGCTTATTTTGTATGCGCTTTCGCTATCGAACAATTTTGGGGGCTTTTTTTTTCATTGGCTAAATAACGTTGCATTGACATGTGTGAAGAATAAGAGCCGCCCTACTTCACAAAAGGACAAGCTCCATATTAGTGTCTGCTGTATGATTTTCACCAGACCGCCGAAAAGCTTTTATTCTACGACCAACGCCACGGCTGGTACGTCCCTTGCTTTCGTTGTCTCCAGCACCAAAGTGTGGTTAATTCATACCACTTACAACCGTATACAGACTCGGTGGATGCTCTACTAATATTAAGAGAACTTTAGCTTCATAACAGCGGTGCATTACCGAATTTTGTGTAACTACAGATGGAGGGTATACTTAGAGCTTTACCTCCGGCTATTTGTGCCGGAGCTACAGAGCACCAAAGCTTGAGATCGGATTCTTTTTGTGAGGGATAGATTTGTTGAAGCTCCCCGACTAACCGTCCAGAGAACTCGCCTATTTTCGCTCCAATAAGATCCTAGCTCGTACCTCGTACTATGTCTGGTGATAACCTGCAATAACCTTCCGAGTTGTTTGCGCCACTGGGACCACTTTACAGTGCTCCTGCATGGCGCGGCACATGTCTCGGGTGGCTAACACCGCCCCCGAACTTTATCCTCGGACCTACTGTTGGTAGGGCTAACAGAGTAAATCGCTCGTTCTGCACCGAAGCCCATTTCTTTTTCTCGTACCCGCTATACGATCGCACCCATCGGCTTATTATTTTTTCTTGTTGTTACCAAATATTTCAATATATATCGGACATAAATCTGGGTATTTCACACTTTGTATCACTTTGCTAGCAAGTCCCCACTTTGCATATTCCCTCTATCTGATTACCATGGATTTAGTACTCGAAGTGTTTGACTACGCTATTGGCGACAGCTTGTACACCAGGTTGTTCCCCACAGCGTTGCAATCCACCATCCCGCCAACCATCGCCCGCACCTTGAAGTTCGGCAATTACTCGGACTACGCACAGCTCTCGGTGAGCAACGGCGTGATGCTAGACACAAATGCTGCGTTGAAGGACGTTTATGGGGTGTTCCCAAATATTTTGCCGGAATCAGCACAGATGTACGCGTCGTTGCTTCCGAGACACAACATCATCCGCCAGTGCTTGTCTCTCTTTGTCATCATGACGGTCTTTGGCTGGTTGTTGTACTTTTCTGTAGCCTGGATCTCCTATATGACGATTTTTGATCGCACCATCTTCAACCATCCGCGCTATCTCAAGAATCAGATGCGCTTAGAAATCCACCAAGCTGCAACCTCCATCCCCGTGATGGTGCTCCTTACGGTTCCGTGGTTCCTTCTCGAGTTGCGTGGCTATTCCAAGTTGTACATGAACATTGACGAATCCACAGGTGGCTGGAAGGCTGTCCTCTTCCAGCTTCCGTGCTTCATCATGTTTACCGACTGCGGCATCTACTTCATCCACAGATGGTTACATTGGCCTCGTGTCTACAAGATGTTGCACAAGCCGCACCACAAGTGGATTGTGTGCACGCCGTTCGCGTCGCATGCATTCCATCCGGTCGATGGCTACGCACAATCTTTGCCGTACCACTGGTTCCCGTTTGTCTTCCCGTTGCACAAGGTGGCATACTTGTTTTTGTTCACATTTGTCAACTTCTGGACCGTTATGATCCACGATGGCGCCTACTTCTCCAACGATCCGTTTGTCAACGGGACCGCCTGCCACACCATCCACCACTTGTACTTCAACTACAACTACGGGCAGTTCACCACCTTATGGGACCGTTTGGGTAACTCGTACCGCCGTCCAGACGACAACTTGTTCGACCGCTCCACCAAGGATAGCAAGCAGGTCTGGAACGACCAGGTCAAGAAGATGGAGGAAATTAGAGGCGCCTTGGAGGGCAACGCCGACGACAGAACCTATGTCGGTGGTTCTGACAAGAAAAATATGTAATCGCGGAGGGCCATTTCATATCTATTCACACTAATAATATCAACCATACAAGTAGTCAGTGCTCTAGACCACCTTGAAGGTAATGCGAAGGGTATACCGCGGAAAGCAGGATCTCAAAAAATATCTGCCGCGGACTAGTAAACTCGGTACCATGGGGCTTCATCTGGCCCGATAAGAACAGGATGGTATTAGGACAGCTTTAATACTGACTAGCGGCTTGGTTAGGAGATTCGCCCATATAACCGGCTCGGACCTGGCTGGCCAAGACTTCTGGATCCCACCATCGAAGTTAATAAATATAGCATTTTTATGAGTACCTAAAAAGTGTACATAATCTGTGTATCGAGGTAAAACCCGGTGCATTTGCGCGCTTCGCACTGCCTCGGCTGACAGATAATATGGATATGCACGAGAACATTCCATCAAAGTTTATCGGAATGGGGATTCCTAGTGCATGTTGGCAAGCTCCGGGACCGCATAATAGTGTCATGTTTCCCGCAGTTACAGTCCATGAAACCTTCGTACAAAGGCCTCTGTCAGGCCCTGTTGCGTAGAAATATCTAGAACGCCCTGGAGTTCCGGGTATGCTAGAATTACTAAGCACCGACAATGGTTGCTTTTCCTTCAATTAGCACCAATAGACCTAATACCAGTACTGATTTATCGTGGATATACCAAGAATAGGCCAGTTTCACGGCCACACTTGCTATATGGCTAATAAAATAACTATTCAGCCACCACTCCTACCACAAGTATTGATCCGTGTCTACCGCGATGCAGGCGCGGACTATTAGTGGGGAAACACGTGCCATTCCCAGAGGATATGCCAGTCCACCATTGGTTTTGGAAATTGGCAGATATTTTAATTGGCTAGAATTAGGCGATTTAAATTTGTTGATAAGATATGTTTTAGAATATTCGATACCAGAAAGCCCGGAGCCCGCAGACCGGTGCCTGTCAAGCCTTAAACCTTAAACAACCCGGAGATGCATTCCCGTGTCCGCGCCACAACCCGGGCTTTGACCCTACACCCTACTGCTGATTAATCAAAAAAAACAAACCCTCTGAGTAATTAAAAAAGATGAGGGCTACCGTTATATTCATCTTAATTCTCTCCCGAAGATCGCCTCCAGTTTTGCCCTTTCCGGTGCAGCTCATCCCGGATATACACGTCCGTGCGTACATCCTGGCACTCCCGGAGTCGCGTCGGGACGTTCTCTCCCAGCAAATTCGCTACCAAAGCACAGGGAGGCATTCGCGCTTATATATATATAACGGAGGCCGCCCAATACACGGAGTCCTTCAATTACCTCTACACACACATTCACAATGTTGAGAGCCTCGTCCATCAGATCCACTTTACTCCGCCAGCCAGCCTTCTTCAGAGGCGTTGCCACCAAGGAACACGACATCGTCGTCATTGGTGGTGGCCCAGGTGGGTACGTTGCTGCCATCAAGGCCGCCCAGGAAGGGTACAATGTCGCCTGTATCGAAAAGAGAGGCGCTCTCGGGGGTACCTGTTTAAACGTCGGGTGCATTCCATCCAAGTCTTTGTTGAACAACACCCATTTGTACCACACCATCAAGCACGATACCGTCAAGAGAGGTATCGAGGTCGGTGAAGTCAACATCAACATTGCCAAGTTGCAGACCGCCAAGGATACCGTTGTTAAGCAGCTCACCAGCGGTATCGAGTCTTTGTTCAAGAAGAACGGTGTCACTTACTACAAGGGTACCGCCTCTTTCGTTGATGCCAACAACGTCTCCTTTGCCCCAACCGACGGCTCCGAGGAAACCATCCTTAAGGCCAAGGACATTATCATCGCCACCGGTTCCGAGCCAACTCCATTCCCAGGTATCCAGATCGATGAAGAGAGAATTGTCTCCTCCACTGGTGCGCTTGCCTTGAAGGAAATCCCAAAGAAGATGGCCATCATCGGTGGTGGTATCATCGGGTTAGAAATGGCGTCTGTCTGGTCCAGAATTGGCACTGAGGTAACCATCATCGAGTTCCAGAACGCCATCGGTGCCGGTATGGACGGTGAGGTCGCCAAGACCACGCAGAAGTTGTTGACCAAGCAGGGCTTGAAGTTCATGTTGGGGACCAAGGTCACCAAGGGTGTTAGAGAAGGCGAAACCGTCAAGATCGAGGTCGAGTCCGTCAAGGATGGCAAGAAGTCCGAGTTGGACGCCGACGTTTTGTTGGTTGCCATTGGCAGAAGACCATACACCGAAGGCTTGGGCGCCGAAAAGGTCGGTTTGGATATCGACAACAGAGGCAGATTGGTCATTGACTCCGAGTTCAGAACCAAGGTTCCACACATCAGAGTCATTGGTGACGTCACCTTCGGTGCGATGTTGGCCCACAAGGCTGAGGAGGAAGGTATTGCCGCCGTTGAGTACATCAAGAACGGTCACGGTCACATCAACTACGCCAACATCCCATCTGTCATGTACTCCCACCCAGAGGTTGCTTGGGTCGGTCAGACCGAAGAGCAGTTGAAGGAGGCTGGCATTAAGTACAAGACTGGTAAGTTCCCATTCATTGCCAACTCCAGAGCCAAGGCCAACCAGGACACCGACGGTTTCGTCAAGTTCATCGCTGAAGCCGAGACCAACAGGGTCTTGGGTGTCCACATCATCGGGCCAAACGCCGGTGAGATGATCGCCGAGGCTGGCTTGGCTCTCGAATACGGTGCCTCTACCGAGGACGTTGCCAGAACCTGTCACGCCCACCCAACCTTGGCCGAAGCCTTCAAGGAAGCCGCTTTGATGACCCACGGTAAGGCTATCAACTTCTAAACTATAGTTTTTAGGATCTAGAATCCCTGTTTATAAAATATACACCTATGTAACAGACCGTAGATGCGATGGGCGAAGATAATTTCTTTTCGGCATGACCGTAGAGCGTAAGAAACTTATACGGGGGGTTATGCACTAGACTGAGGGTCTCATGTAGCTACATAACTCGAATCTCACCTATTTTCGTACACCCAACAATCGCATTGGCTGGCTAGCTTCTAATATACAAATTCATTAGTTAGTTCCCGGCGTTGACTTTGCCGCCCAAGAAGTGCGGGGCAACCTCTTGCAACCACTCGAGCTCCACGACGGTACAGTTTCTCCCATATCCTCTGGTAGTATAAACGTACTCCATGTACATGATGGCATCGTTGCGCTGCCCAAATAACACTGACGACGGGTGGATGGCAATCAACTGGCCACTGGTGACAGTTCTGTAGGAACGATCTGGCATCCCGATAGCACTGTTGGCAATGAATCCACGGAGGAAGGACTTGAGGATGGATGGGATGTCAAGTGACGGCTTGAACGCAACATCGTCTTCCTCTGCGTCCTCGATCTGTGCATGCGCGGACTTCGACGATGTGTCGTGCTTGAATAACGCAACCATATACTCGCGTAGCTGTTCCCTGATCTTCAACACGTTCTTAAATCCCTTGTAGCTGAACTCCATCTCCTTGCACCAGTTTCGGCGCTCACCGGGCGTCTTGAACGACATGTACGTGTCAAAGAACTCCTTTAAGCTGATCAAATCACCCCACTTGCACCCCAACGTGCAGTACCCACGTCTCTTGTAGTTTATCTCGTCGCGTCTTTCGCCCGAGATATTGAGGATCAAGTTGTCCACTGACAAGCATGACACCACGTCGATCACGTCGTTCAAGCAGCCGTACTGCTGGGCCGTTAGCAACACTGCCGACAAGTGCGGAGCCAACGGCAAAATCGCCATCTGGCACCCCAACTCGGTGATCTTCCCAGCGTCGTCGAGCGCGCGCAACGTGTATAACTGGGTCAAAGCAGACAACAAAGAGTCTTTGCCTGGGTGTTCCAACCAGGACCAGGTCAAGATGTCATCTACGCCCATCTTCTTTAGGATTAAGACTGGCGAAATGATATCGCTTCGGGAAATCTCCGATTCCGTCTGCGTTGGCAACTTCTGGAAGTCCTTCTCGGTGTAGAGGCGGAACGTCTTACCCGGGAATTCACGCCCAGATCTTCCCATCCGCTGCGTCGCAGACGCCTGCGAGATTGGTGCCGTCAAAAGCGTCGATAAACCCAACTGATGGCGCCATATCTTGACCTTGCGGAGCCCTGAGTCGACCACGTAGCGCACACCGGGAACTGTTACCGAAGTTTCCGCGATATTAGTCGCCAAAATGATCTTACGCATGTTCTTCTTCACCGGCGTAAAGATCTTGGCCTGTTGTGCGGGGCTTAACGCCGCGTACAACGGTAACGGAAGGATCATCGGCGCTTCCTTGGGCAAGTGTGGCGCCAAAAGCGCCAACGTGTTCACACATTTATCGATTTCCTCTTGACCGGGTAAGAAACAGAGCACATCCCCGTGCTCTTGGCCCTGGTTGAGTTGCACCACCGCGTGGATCATGCTGTCGACAATGTCCTCGGATACCTTATTCACGTAGAAGGTCTCTACTGGATGTAATTTTCCGGGGATGAAGAGAATCGGCGCGTTGCCAAAGAACTGGGAGAACTTGTCAGCGTTCAACGTCGCGGACATGACAATTACCTTCAAGTCCGTACGTATGCCGCGAAGCAATTCCTTTAAGAAGCCCAATATCAAATCCGTCAACACGGTACGTTCATGTGCCTCATCGATAATGACGGTGGAGTATGCAGACAACTTCGGGTCCATCATGAGCTCACGCAATAACATACCGTCCGTGAGGTACTTCATCTTGGTACGGTTCGTTGCTGCGTTCTGAAAACGCACCGAGTACCCTACCTCTTGCCCCACGCGGCACCCGTATTCCTCGCTGACTCTGGTCGCCAAGTTGATTGCGGCCACACGCCTGGGCTGGGTGACCGCCACTGCTTTCTTGTTAAGCGAGGAGATGAGTTGGGGGATCTGGGTGGATTTACCCGAACCGGTCTCACCGATGATAATGAGCACCTGGTTGTCGACATAGTAGTCCACGAGCTTCGCACGCACGCGGTATACCGGGAGCTTTGCGCGTGACACCAAGAGGTCCGCTGCACGCGCCTTGACATCTGCATACGACTTCAGATCTGCTTGGACCTCCTCCTCGTCGTCTTCGGAGTCTGAATAGAAACTTGCGCGGGTGGCTTGGGTCTTGAAAACCTTCGCAGCTTCTCTGGTGTCCCGTGGCGCGTCGCTCACATCCGTTTCTTCAATGGTGCTGATAAGGGCTTTAACCTCATTCTGCGGTGAAAAAGTTTCAATCGCTTCCACCTCCTCGTCGAACCGCCTCTTTTTGTTTTGCAGTAAGACCTTGAAGGCACCGAAATCCTGAGAAACCGGTGGGGCTGGAGCCACTTCTATGGTGGTTTCAAGGGCCTTGTCCTCCAGATTGGTTGCCTTCTTCGTTCTCTTTCTCTTTCTCTTCTTGTTGGTGTCTGACACCTGCGGGGGGATTTCCATAGTGTCGGGAAATTGGGAATAACAGTGATGGGTTGACTGATATCGTGGAGTGGAAAATTATTTATGCATGAAAAATATTTGGAAAAAAAAAAGCCGCACATCCTGTGCATACGCGCCGTATTTGTCATTTAGGCAATAGAACTAACTGGTGCTCTAGTGATTTGAGTATTTCACCTGGTATCGCAGATATATGGCTAAAAATGGAGAAAGGGTTACATAATATTTTAATTCTAAAGACGCATCCAATGATGAAACTTCTGCACCTGGTTAATATGAGTCCTACACCCACCAATGAGATTCAACGTAATTTAAGGTGACCCCCATGCTATTCAGTAACGTGTACAGGCAGATAAACCCATCTTATAGCCGGGGTGATGCTAAACAATACAATATGGAAGATTACCTCCGCGATCGACTAGCAAGTACGACCATTTACATCGATCAAGTAAGACATACCTCAGGGCTGTCCCGACGACGGATCCTTGGGCCCACTCTGTCCAGCCCTAGTGTGAAGGAAAATGACGGGCACGTAAGAATACAATACACGGTAAATTATGCATGCGATTGACATACGTATTGCTTTTTGTTCGTCACCAGTCATAATAAGACAACTAAACAACAAATTACACTTAAGACCGAAAAGAAAATCATCAATCAAGTACACGAGTCATACTTTGGACTGATGTGCTGATTCGTAAGGATCTATTCCGACCACCCTAAGGTCGCTAACTCTCCTCTGATGGTGTCCTCGTTGTTGATCTTTAACACCTGGGTGTCTTCTAACGGCTCACCCTTGGCCTGCTTCATCTTCAAGCTCTCGATCGCTCTTAACTTCTTCAACAACGATCTAATTTTCTTCTCCTCCAAGGAGGCAACACCACCGACAACGGCACCCTTCTCTTCTTCCTGGACGACAGGCGCGGCAACTGGCTCTGGCGTTTCATTCTTCTTGGCTTCTCTCTTCTTTCTATTCTTGGCCGCAGCCTTGGACTCCTGGACGACCGGCGCTGGGGCGCCCGGGATGATCTTCTGTCTCGGGGCCTGGTATGAGCTGACATTGTTGACAGAGCTGGAGCTCAAGATCTCGCGTTGGTATAACGAGGTTGGCGCCGCTGGGGCGTCGTCACCGTTACGTCTGGCGTGCGGTGGACGGTATGCCCCAGCGGGTTTGCTGGCAGCGGCGGCCTGGGGCTTGCTAGCCATGTGAGCGACCACAGACTCGTGTGGCGCTGGTGCCTCGTCCAACTTTTTCAAAGCTGGGAAGATGGAGACATCCTGGGGTCTCCAGGCGATGCTGTACAACTCCTTGTAGTCCTTCATGTAGATCAACTTCCCGCTCGCGTGCCAGACCTTGAGGCCGTTATCAACTCTCAATCTAGGCGCAGTGGTTGCGGTCAAGATGAACCGGCCGCACGGCGACCAGTGGCAGACAGACGTGTTGGCAGCCTCGAAGGTGGTGATCTTGGCAAACTTGTTTTGTCTGTCGTAGACGTCGACCGTACCTTGCAAGTTCCCAAACCCAGCGACGAGCACAAACTTGGCATGCGGCGAGAACAAGATGGTGTTTCTAGGGGCCGGCGGAAGCGTATGGATGTTGTTCCCTCTGGCGTCAAAGAAGCTGGTAGTGGCCGGCATGAAGCCGTATACGACGGCAAATTCCCTAGAGGACGGGGACCAGGTAATGTCATGGATCGGACCTTCTCTGTCCAAGGTGATACGGGAGTCGTAGGCGCCGGCAATCCCCAAGAGATACAAGTTGGTTTCGCCGTAGTAAGACTTGTTGGAGGAGTCGACATCAGTGGAGGCAAGCGCCAACAAGGCAGTCCCCAAGGAGTTCCATCTTAACTGGCACCGTTCGGACTTGAAAAACGTTTTCTGGCAGATCGGCTGGCTGAAGCTGGGGATGTTGTAGACTTTGACGGAGGCTGGGAGGCCCTTCTTCTCCGGGGTGAACACCGCGACGGCCGGGTTCAAACCCGGAGACAACTCGAAGTTGGCGTAGTTTTCCACCTTCAACTTATGGAGCGGTTTGTCAAAGTTCAAGTTAGTCAACTCGAAGAAGTTGATGCCGTTGCTGGTGGCTCTGGTGATCAACTTTTCGTCCGCCGTGAACTGCGGCTTCCACCCCGCCTGCGATTTGTTGCTATAGGAGCCGATGATCGCGTCATTCTGGATGTCGTAGACCTGCACGTTGTTGTTGAAGTTTCCTGATTCGGCATCCTTCACCGGCTTCAACCACATGCAGAGGTAGTTTCCGAGGGGCGAGAAATGCAAGTCAAACACCTCTGGGAGCTCCAACTTCTTAGTGACGGAGCCGTCGTTTGGATCGGCCACAATAACGTATTTCGGCTGCGTGAAGGCAAAACGCGATCCATTTTTGGAGTAGAGCGCGATACGGCACTCCTCTCTGGAGCCTTCAAACTCTGTGACGCTTGAGTACTCTGGGTGGCCATGTATCAACTCCACGGCTCTCGGTTGTCGACCTGGAGGGTTAGTAACTGCGCTCACGGCTGCTGGATTAGTACATACAGAACAATTCGGTGATAGTAGACATGATGCAGATTCTAGATGGTGATGAGTGTCGGGTATCAAATGAGCTTGTGATACGTGCCGCCGATTTTTTTTCGCTTTTTCTTGTCGTGGTTTCTTTTTCAGTGCAAGTAACTGTGTAGTTAGGGCCTGTGTTTTACGCTTATGTGTATTTATCAGCACTAAGAAACCTGTCATGGATACCGTGTGGATGGGGGCGAGTAGAGGCCAGAAATACGTGTAAGGATGGCCATTAATAAGAGATATACCACTACTATATATATGGCGTGTCTGAAGGCTATGATTTCTTGGGTAGTGGTGAAGATGTCGCAGCGTAGGTATTGATCTGTCAAACTCAGCCGTAGTATTTAGCAGGCCTGCAGTCCAGATCGACTAAACCTAACGTGTCTCCAAGACGTGGATGAGGCCATTAAAGAAACAGAGCAACATCTACTCGTGGTTGAACAATGCAAGATAAAATGAATGGGAATAATTTTGTCCAGGGTTTAATTGGGTGCTTACTGCGTGTTAAGCAGGTGCTATGACCAACTAGACCACGAAACCATTCGCTAGGGCAACTGGGAATGATGCTGCTTCATGAACGTGAAAGATTTATTTTACAAATAGGCGAGCTGGGTCAACAAAAAAAATAAAATAAAAGCTAGCTTGGCCGCTTCGTAAATAGGCCTCTTTTTAAATTTAAGAGTTGCCGCCTGCTTTTATATAATTATGCCCTGGTTTAATGGAATTATCGGCTAATTTTGCTTCCGCGGCTTAGGACTGTCTCAGATAAAATTTACCAGTAGAAAACATAGTTCAGAAGAAATTACCTGTTACTCTAGAGCCTATTGCAGCCAACTAGTGGACCACTAGGTAAGGTAAATTCGTCAAGTAGTAGCGTAGCCCTATCAAAGGCCGGAAAGTATACTGTGTCAGCTCGAGCAGGATCAGAAGATCTCAGGTTTGAATCGACCTTAGAGTTGTGTTAAAGGTGCTACGCTATGCGTCGCAGGCGTCTTTCGGCCCACCTGATTCTTCTTCTCGTCCGGAATGGCGTGAAATGGTTATTCTCATGATAATAAGGACCTCCCCACCCTCTTGATTATGGTAGAAAGTCCGGGTAAACTGTATTGATATTGCTATTTTCCAGAGTCATCAAGGGGGTGACCCTTTAAACATTTTGTGCACACCACAGAAGGTAACAAGTCGTGTGTACGCCATATAACCTCAGATCGATATAACCCCCTGAGCCACCAGATGTAATCTGCATCAACCACAAGGAGGCGTTGGCCTGAGGCGTTCTGTACACGTACGTCTTAAAAAAAGAGACCCATGCCAAGACCCACCATATTGGGAAGTTTATGGACGCACGCCTGGAAGCTAATCGTGATGGGGTAATTACGTCAATTTGGGAAGAAATCTCTCTTGGGGTCTATTTGACGTTACCGACAGATAACCCGCGGTAATTACGGACCGGGAGTTTTCAGAATGAGACATTGGCTCAAGAATACACCCAGGCAGGGTCTTAAGTAGGAAAACTTACAGGGTAATAATGCGAGACCCCTTTCGGGTCAAACTAAAACCGGTACTGCATACAAAGGAAGCCGCCTGGCTTACAAAAACGTGCATAGGATTAAAGTTTATAAACCTGGGGAAAGAAGTGTGCCGCTGGCAAAGTTTGGATCTGGTCAAGGATGATGGACTCCTCACTTGAAAGGTTTCAATGAGGTATTATAGCTAGTGAACTTGTATGAATCTCATCTTTCCCGTAAAATCAGTTCTCCGTTCCTATCTCTGTGTATACTTTTCGCGATTATGCGAAACCGGTGTGGATGCCTCCCTGGCTGCAGCGTGAAAGGTACATGCAGCTGCTCTCTCTGCCTTACGTGCGGAACTCGCTTCGAGTTTATACACACTACCCCGGCATTGTTTACTTTAAGGAGTCGCCGAAAGAGTATAAAATTGAAAGGTATCCTACCTTCCCAGTATATTTCTTGAGTTCTCTTTGTCTATCCCTTTAACTTCCCAGACACATTTTCAAGTCAGTCGCACGCATCATGTTTATCAAGATGTCACAAGGCAGCTACGAGTTGAGACAAGGATTTGGCATCCTTCGTTCGATCTCCACTTTCTGTATTTTGATTTCCTTTATTCCTCTTTTTTTCCCCCAGCTTTCTCATATTGTGACTAAGGAGGAGATTGAAGTTGCGGTACCGGCCTGGTACTTGGTGAGCGTTGGAATCGTTCTTACCATGTTGGTCTTGTTCAACGTCAAGACATTGGTGGGTTTGCTTGGTGTCAAAGGGGTTCAGTATTTTGTATTGCCCGCACAGCTTTTACTCTCGGTGTGCCTGGTATATTACATTATGCACCAAAATGAACCTCATCCGTTGTTGGGGGTAATCGCCTGGGTCGGGACGTTGACTATTTCCATTTGTTTAACCTTGACCTTAAGCGAGAAGGATATCAAAGAGATTTCCTCGAGATATAACCTCGATACTGCTTCTGTTGAACTCCCGGAATTCGACAAGAGTTCCGCCAATCTGTCGTCGTTTGAAAAAGCCGCCAAAACCTTGTTCTTCTTGGAGTGTACCGCACGCTCCTTGTCATTTACTTATCTTATTTTCCTGTTTGTCTTACCCGATATCCACAATTTCAACCACTGGAACAGAAGTGAACGGGTGGACGAGCTTACCTTGCTTCTCTGGGGATCCATGTATCTCGCCGGGACCTCCTTGATCCGGTTTTTGTCACTAATCCCGAATTTTACCAGATACATTGAAAGCAGCAACTCCTATGGGTTACCTATGCTTAATTTTGTGTTGGGAATCATTGTTTTCAAGGACTTGGTGTTCTACTTGGCATGTAATGTGTACAGCAACCACGAGGTTATTGTGGGTAAGGCCGCTGAAGTAATGGGCAACGCAGTCGGTACCAGTTAAGAGAGTTCTCTGGAAAACGAGACACCTCTGTTACGATCGTGTAAAGGGATATGTATTTATATTTAATTTTTTCTTTCCATTACATGTGTACTAAAGGCATACTTTTCTACTCGTACACCTTCATCTCGGTGCCTCATATCCATATGCACGTAGCTTCCTTCATGGGAATGCGGACAAAAATAACCACAGGACAGCTATAAACTGGCTTTCGGTATCCTATCTTCCTCAGTATATAGGGATTACCAACTCTTCCTCCCTGTATATATCTTATAAAGAGTATCCTAGTTATGTTCCGCTTATCCTAGGAGATGACAAAACATTGTGCAGCCAACTTGAATAATTAATAAGTTATACGACCAGAGATATGTACAGGGTTCCATATGCTTTAACTATGGTCTAACATTCAAGCTGCCAGTTACCACTTTGAGACGTTTCAGCCACCTCGAATAAACAAAAACCGGTTCTGGTGTCGAATTAATAGTGAGGCCATGCTACTAAATCCAGTACTAGTCCTGCATATACACAATCGCAAGCGTGTGCTTGGTTCGAAAAGATTTCAAGATATGGTAGATCGGACGAGATAAGAACTATTGAGCTTTACCATTTCTTTTGTAACGGGCCTCAAATACCTATTCACCATGACCCAGCCCATACTTAAAGTCATCCAGGACTATGAGAACGACTTACTGAAATTGTGCAATGCCATCACGCGGGGAGGCTCAGACACATCACTTGCTTCGTCTTTGTTGTGGTACTCCACCTATTTGTTCCAAAACACCACGAAAATCCTTGATTTTGAGAGAAATAAAATGCAGTTACTGGGATTCCACTTGCAATATGCATCCTTGAAGAAAGAGTTTCCGCCGCCCTTTGAGAACTTGGATGTGGACGATGTGTTCTACAGGAAGCGAGCAATGGCCAAGAGAAAGACAGGGTCCTTGGTGACTGAAGCCGGTGTTCCGCTAGATCCTCTCTCCGGTGAAGCAAAAACCACTAATGAGAAGAGAACGTTGATAAATGACATGTCAAACACAGATTTGTTAAAGTATATCGTGATGGACGTCAAGCGAATCTTTCCTCATATGCAATTCTATGATGACGCACGGAGCCAAGGACAGTCCATCATCCACAAAAGAAACATCATTGAGATGCTCTACCTTTTCGTTAAACGGCACAATATTCCCTACAAACAAGGACTCCACGAAATCTGTGGAGTTGTATACTACAACTTATACCGGAATAGCTTATCTTCCAGCGCTTCTAGCGAGGTGATCTTGACAGGAGATAAACGCTTTATCTCGGACCTCTTTCAGCTGGATAACGCCAAACCGCATGCCTTTTTCATGGCAAACCACCTATTGTTGGCGGGTGCCGAAGGGGAGAACATCTTCATCACCAGGTCTGTTTACAGCTCCTTCTATCTCCAGGATGAGACGTTGCTCTCCGAGATCGAGAAGTTTACCCTGGCCTTTGAGCAGCTCGACTACAACTTGTTTTATTTGATCAACGTGAAAAACAAGATTGACAACCGAATCTGGATGATCAAGTGGTTCAGGTTATTGATGATTAGAGAATTCACGCACGAAAATGGACCAGAAAAGGGGAAAGACGAATTGTGGCTTGTGCGGTTAATCTGGGACAAAGCGGTGGCATACCAGGGGATGATGGCTCCTGGAAAGAGCGACGCGCTCGCAAAGTGTGACTTTGTGGAGTTGTTGCCGTACATCATCATGGTTTTATTGATAAAGTTCAAGATTCATCTTATCGTTAACTACAGCTCCGTCACCGAATCGCAGGATGACGAGCTTCTCTATAGTCTCCTCCACTTTGACAAGTTTTACTTTGCTCAGACCAAACTCCTCTCTCGAGAGAAGATTGGCCGCGACTGGAATGACATTATCCAGTTTGCAGTGAAGTTGTACTTCCATGGCTTACAAAACACCACTTCCGCAAACCAGTGGTGGAGAATCGGTAACGAGATCAACGCCTACTTCCACTCCACGTCGAAGACCAATGGCGACGATTTTGTTGCTAAGGAGTATGCATTTTACCAAGATCTCGAAGATAGCGATGAAGCTAATGGGCAAGCTAAGCTTAAGGAACAGTTTTACAACAAAGTCAAGCTTGAGATAAAATTAAAGTACCGGGTGTTGAAGTCTATGAACTAGATTACCAGGCAAGGGAGGCTAGCACTCCCTTGCGAATGAACTTCAAACCAGAATCCGTTAAAGCCCCCCTTCCCATGACTGTAATTCTGGCTAGTTCTACCAACGCTTCATCGTGTTCAGACTCAGTGGCCATGCTAGCATACCCGTATCCTCTATTAAAGGGATCGCGGGTCGACTTTTTGTCAAGCAAAGGAGGCGCACAACCCCATAAATCCTTCATAAATAGAGAAACCGCATTTTTACACTCCGCCGCACGTAGACTCCTAAAGTACTCCCGGTCGTCTTCTATGGGTGGCGTAGGGGAGTTTCCGATATACTGAACTCGGCCCGCTGGGAACCCTAGGGTTGATAAGTGGTGGTCCACGAAGCGGGCTCTTTTGAATTCAAAACCCACAATAGTGAGCTTCTGAGGGTACGTGCCTGTGATCTGCTTGAATCGTAGGAGAGAGAGGACCACGTTTTCGAACGAGTCGCGGGCAAACTCTTCTGTGTATATACGAGACATCAATGAAGCATGCTCATACTGATCGGATGGATTCTCGTTCGTGAATTTACCCAACTCTGACTCGGTAAGCATCCCATGGTCCGAGCCCAATGTTTCCTTGAATTTTGCGTATGCTCCGGTTGTGAGCAATCGCTCGGCCAAATTTCGGTATGATTGAGACTCAGAAATTGGACCTGCTTGGATTTTGGTTTGTCCGCCAGAAAATATCACCATAGAGGTATCCCATTCATCTATCAAGATGTGAATGGCACTTACGATATGGTTCACAAAACACATGTGGTCTCTTCCATCTTTTTGGAAGCCTTCCAAGTACCATTCGTCTTGTGAGGCACCGAGAGAGGCACTGGAGGATGGTTTCCAGATAGAGTGTCCAGGAACTAGGATCAAATGGGATATCCCTTTCATTTTGTCCATCGGCAAAGGAGGCATTCTAAGACAGACCAAGGTGTCAACAAGACGTGCGTACTTTGTTAAACCGATGCGCGGTTTATACAGGATCTATGGGCTCTAGTAGCATGGATTCTGCTAATCGGGGCTATTTTCAAATATATCTGAGTTATGATCTTTCCAATATAGAGTGGCTGTTAGCACCATTTGAATTCACTAAGAAATAATAGCTTGCGATAGCGGAGTTTATTTTTTACTTTTTATGCCACATAGGTGGTTTCCCAGATCTAAGCGGGATTGCTAATTTATACAGTTTATTCTGAGATTATGCAACGGAAAAGGATTAAAATTTCCAGAAGCTATATTTACAGACGGAGACTTTGGACATAATCTTCAAGGGATTTGTTGTTGTATGCATTGGAGCTCGACGGTGATGCGACATTTATATACGGAGAAGCAATGCATCTTCCGAGAGTTATGGTTACAGTCCTAGCACACCAAAGTTAGGCTGCGTATGAAATGTCTTTAAATATCAAACTAATGAGTAATATATCTATTATTTCAGGTTAATATTGATCTGTTTCAGTCACACTTTTACACTCAGTGCTTCCTCAGACTAGGCTACCCCCCCTTTTTTTTGAATATTAACCCGGACACACGGCTATATATGAAGTTTACTCAAAAACAATATCTCTCTAAACAGAAACCACGCCTGTTTCTTTGGTTATTTGGCTTATTTCGATATCTTGAATAACTCATAGATATTGTCTTCTGCAAAAACTGCCTCGCGGTGGCTCGGCTTTTTCCAATAAGTCCGAGTTGTACAAAAGCAACTGACTGTGAGATTGATTACTAAAAGACTGAATTGGGCCAGACCTTGCAACTGGAACTGATCCAGGGAAGAGCGACATAGGGCGGTTGTAAGTGTTTTCGGTGTCTATCTTCAGGGCAGGACTTGCGTGAATTGGGTAACGATTCTCGAGTCGTTAGATTGGAAATCTTCGAGAAAGTTGTATGTATCGAATAAATCATTGCTAAAGTAAAAGTTCTCAGGGTTTGGTATATTTCTCTCGTTGTCATTCTTTACATTGCTGATTGGCCCAACTAGAGTAGTTCCTCCCGGGGAATAGTTAACAGGGCTGTACCATGACAAAACTGTGTCTCCCTTGGCCACTATATCAGGGGTGATAATTTTCGAGTATTTAATTGCAAACAGTTTGCCCAAATTCGGCAAGACATAGCGGAAAAGCTGTTTCGTAAAAGTTAAGACCGGGGCTAGCTAACCTAAATGTTGATGGTCTGAATTATAATTTGAAAATTCAACTTGCGGTGAATTCCATAACTGTTCATAATTACCAGTAGGCCCTGCATTATTTGCCCATACATTCCGAGGATTGCACCATGAAGACATGTAGCGAGATCATAGGTGTGTGCTTTTTGACTCTAAAAGGTTACTAGACTCTAATCACGTATTTTTCATTTTTCAAATCTGGCTTTGTATTCGGAGTGTAAGATAGCTGACTTGTACACAGACAGTAAAACTTACTTAAAGCCATGTGCCCAGTGGCAGATTTCCGATGCTGAGCCATGCAGACCAGCTCCTATAATATGGACATTCGTTACTGATGAACTCTGTAAGTGCGAAAAAAAAAACATCCTGGCCAAACAGGATCAAACTAGTTCCGCCTGAGTTTCCAGTAGACCTTAATACTAATATCCGCAGTGCCCCCGAATCCCGTAAACTTCAGCACAGCTTTATCCGATAACTTTTACTAGAATTTGGCTACACATTCAACCTAGAACAATACAGGGAGGTTATAGACAAGTTTAAGCCAAAAAAGAGATGCAGCTGCCCCTGCCTACTTTGCCGGTTGGTAGCCTAGATTACGCCACGAGACGGACATACATGGTACGCAGAATTGATATATTTTCTCTGTTTTAAAGAGAATAAATGCAAAAAAACTAAACTCCGATACCGGGAGTCGAACCCGGGTTTGCTCGGTGAAAGCGAACCGTGCTAGCCGTTACACTATATCGGAATAATATATAGCTTAAAAAGCAGTTGTAGTGAATCCTTGATCGCCTATCACGTGTGGATCCAAAGGGCACCAGAGTTTCATTATACAATGGGATACAGCAGCTACGTCTAGAGGTCAACAATAATGTGAAACGTCCCGATCCAGACTGGTGGACCAGGGGCCTCGTCCGGAATTTCGGGTAAATGGCCCTGCGACCCCATGATTTATATTCTCTACACTACAGTGAGTTCCTCTATTAGTAACGCGCCTAACACAAAGGATTGGTTCCTTTCTCAGCTTTGAACTTCGTATAACCGTTTACTGGTAATTAGACTATGGCCAAAACTGCCTTGTTTTGGCCTCTCCCAAAAATCTCATTCAGGTTGTATACCATGGACGGATTCCGGATAAAATACTTGTGGCAAATTCAACGATACCTACGCCCACCTCCATATTCCTTGGCTTTTACTCTCATCTTTAAGTACTTACCAGTATGATTATATATATCCGGAAATGCATAAACCTCTGAACTCGAGCCGTCCAATCACTTGGTTTCCTAACGAGGGACGCGAGACGCGTAATTATCCGGTAAACGCGTCAGTCGTAGACTATATGCGTGAGTGAAAAATGACTTACAGGTGTCCCGTAATTCATCCTCAACTTCGCTTATTATTTTACAGAAGTTACACATTTCAATGCCACAATACAAATACACGTATGGGATTATTCGCTGTACGAGCACAAATGAAATCCTTTTGCTCAACCGCCAAAAGCATCCATGGATGGGCCGCTGGAACGGCGTAGGGGGAAAGTTTTCGCCGGGCGAGACGCCGATGGATTGCATCATCAGGGAGACACAAGAAGAAACCGGTTTGGTGATCAGCAACTACCAGCTGAGGGGTGTCATGACCTGGTTTAAAGATGGGGAGAATTTAGGAGGCATGTACGTCTTCACAGCTGACTTGGCAGAGATTCCGCGGGGGTTCCATACACCAAAGCTCGTTGACGAGGGAATCCTTGACTGGAAGAAGATCACCTGGGTCTGTGACGAGAAAAATTCAGGGATAGTGGATAATTTAAGGATAATGCTCCAAAATTTATTCCATGCAGACGAGAAGAGTACGTTTAAAACACTCTACGAGTCAGGCTCGGGCGATAAGACCTTTGCCAGCGACAGGTTGGTCAGCGTAGAGTATTTAACCGATTCTCACCATGAAATTTACTAGTTAGGTGCTAATACTGAAGCAAAGGGGCGAAAGATTGTAGAAATGACTGGGGGTCATTTCCACTGCTTTTAGAAAGATAATATCTTGGGTATGTTTGATAATCAGTACATGAGTTTTCCTCTCTCAAGAGTAAGGGCGTGTGGCGTAGTTGGTAGCGCGTTCGCTTAGCATGTGAAAGGTCTCGGGTTCGACTCCTGACTCGTCCATTTTTTTCATTAGAAAAATTTCGCTAGATTATATTTATGCGAGTTAAAATTACGGCTAGCTCGGTATACCCTACTTTATAACTATTTAAGTTTCAAAGCCAAAACGTATACGGATGTCATCGCCTTTTGGTATCATGATTTATACATGGCGAAAGGATATCATTCCAATAACAATAGACATACAGATATATTATGGGATCCAATAATCAGTACAGTCAGGAAGCAAATGACGAACGCAAACGCATTTCATTATCGGCTAGTTGTATCACCCCATTGGAATCAAGCCCGACAACCATGGAGCGGCAAATGAAGCGCCAAATTCTGTTGTACACATCAAATAACTCTTGGTACTGGGTCTGTCTTTTACAGCGAAAAAAGTCTTCGGCCAGCTGGCCTTTCGGTTTTTCTGAGTCGTACAACGCCGACGGAATGGAGATGGATTTCAACAGACAGTACTCATCAAGGCATGCAAAAATGACTGTACCCAATTTCCGACTCATGATCAATATTGTGCTCTTCCTATCAGTACCCAGAGGAAGTTGCTGTTTTCTTTTGAAGCCTAAGTGGATGGGATCCGGAATGTAGAGTCTATCGTGAGCCCGACCCAATTTGACGAGGTAGTCTTGAACCTTGGGTAAATTTTCCAAGTTTGAGATGGTCAAGTTGACAATCAGATTGATGGCTGTGGTTTGATGGGTGTACCGAGGTAAATGCGTAACGAGCTCTGGCTCCGTTTCTCCTAAACGCAGATACACCGTTTCCCAGAACTGATCGGATGAAAGACATTCCTTGAAGCTTCTCTGCGAGATAGGGGACGGACCGTTGGAGGAGACTTCAGGCTGGTACAAGGTCGATGCAGAAGACTCACTGGAGGGTGATGTAGACCCGTTTTCGACTGCTCCGTGGTACCAGCAATGCTTGATGATGGATATTTCGCTGGCGGTAAATTCCTCGTGCACAAGATTCCAGTACGTGACAGGAACCGTCTCCTCTGTGTCTTCAGTCCCCTCAGAAACCGTTCCCGAGTCTCCAAAAAATGCACTGTTTATGGTTCTGGCTTGGTACACTGGCAATACCGTCCCCGGGCTGGAACCATTAGGGCTGCTTCCTGAATTATCCTTAGTCTTGTGGCGACTCCAACGGGAACGTGCACTGTCGATTGATTTGAACATGAGCAGGCAATAAGCGAACGGGAGAAGCTGACCAAATTGGACTATTTAGGACCCCAGAGATGCTTATATAAGGGGCTAGCGGTTGTCATTGGGAGTTTCCAGGCGCAAACGTGCGCAGCATCGCAGTTTTTTAAAGTCCCACACGAAACGTTTCTGGCGGCCAAGCATGTAGATTGCAAAGGTCGTAAATGCTCTTTATTTGGGCGCAGCAAGGACACTAGACGGACAGATCGTTCTGGGCCACGTACCTCCAATCGTATAATGTGAAATGGGTTATACTACATTTACCTGCATGCATGTATTTACATATAGGAGCCTCCGGTTTATTCAACTGATAGGACAACGCTCGCTTAAATCAGCGTTTAACCGTGCATATAGTTTTCATCACAGCGACTAATCCTTTGGGCTACGTGAAATGCTAGGGTAACCCTAATTGAACAGGTTTAGGAAAATTGAGTGACCGTTTTAATAGAGCAAAGCAGTCGTCACTGCTGCTGAAGGGGATTATGTAACTCACCTGAAACATGCCCTTAGGGGACCTGTACTTCACCATCCGTCTACCGAACGTAAAGGGAAGTGTTATACCTAGTAGATATTAGCGGACACTATTAGGTAACCAAGAGACAACCCATTATATAAACAAGGTACAGGCAGGGGGGAGTTGAGTCATCGTCGTTGTAAGGTGACGATATATTGCAAAATCAGGATGAGGAAGATAGGATACCAAAATGTCGTATAATCTGCTTCGTATTATACGATTAGAGGTAAGAGGATACCTGCCGGTAACGTCCGCGGTATTAAATGGCATCTTTAGTATTGGACATGCAGATTTGGAAGCGAGATGTTTGGTCCTGGTAGTATGTATCCCTGTACTAGCTTTTTAGTCTAAGAAAAAGGCGTTGCAGACTAAAAAGTATATGTGGTGGACACTAACGTAACGCGTTTCTTCCTTGCTAGCTTGAGCATATTGATGATACACCAAGTCTTATTACACCTCACTATACCATTTTGCTATAAGGATAGACCCTGCATCGGAAATAAAATTCCTCGCCTGAGAAGGGTTAAGCTGGCCTTCCTTGCAACAGCTAACTTTAAGCGGTGGGTTTTTCGTAGTCGACAGGAGAATCGGCCCATAAATAGCTCTTGAACAATGCCCACCGCATGTACACGCAGGTCACCCTAACCCAAACTGTAGTTGAAGCCAAAGGCCTGGGAGACAGGAGAATGACAGTCTGCGATTATGAAGGAGAGGTTCAAGGTTTCGCCAAACTTATTTTGGATAGAAGGAGATAAGCGAAATGCAGATCCATTTCTCTGTTATGGTTACATCATACCGGATGTATCGTCTAATGACGTACGGGACGCGCCTTTTCCAAAAAGGGGCTCTCCTGCCTCTACTTGCATACCAACCCCACAGGAAATACACTAGCATGGCACGCATATCACTGAGGTGGCCCCTATCACTAGCAGAGTAAATGCTGTTTAGGAAGCTGCAACTGGGTGAATACCAGATTTATGAGAGATAAAACCAACCACCAGAGTTTTGACAGACGTTATAGACATTGTCTATGCGTTTGATAATCTTGGGCTAATACCAGTGAATACCATTATCGTAACAGGCTTGGGGTTGCAGGTGAGAGGTATTACGCTTCCGACTAATGTGACGAAGAAACGTTGGAAAGTCGACAATATATCCTTAAGAATGCCTTTTACTATGGGCCGAGTGACGCAGCGGGGTATTTGGTGGAGGGTATAGACACCAGCAAGTTGTGTTATGTACAACCAGCTTAGTAGCGCCGATATTCAGTGTAGTTGGTCAACGACCAAGTAGCTCGTCAGCGCAGGATTTAACCTCAACGTTGAAAATACGGCTTCTATCAAGATTGAGTGGAGCATTCTAAAGTTAACACAGGCAGATGAACATAAACGATATATACTGATAAACTGGCCTCGCTTGCTTTATATATCTTTAATTAGGTTAACATGTGAGCTATACACAGCATAGAGATATTTGCTAGGAGGCTGCCATCAACAAGGATTAAAATGGTATATTTAATAACTAATATGATAATATATGTTCAAAATATTAAATATATAAATCAAAACTTGAAGCATAACGAAACAAACAAGCAACAAAAAAAGGTACTATACCAAAAAGTTAGCTAAACATCTACTGTTTGCTAGATATACTACATGAATTGTATTTCAATCATATAAATATATCAGGTTGCAACAAACAACCTTAAGTAGCTTGTAGATATGGTTCAAACATTCAGATATACATCGCATACCACCGCTTAAATACTATCAATCCTTCGAAACCTAAAAATTCCGTAAGACGGACTTCGTATGTTCATATAGTTACACACGGCAAACACTAAAAGATCAGAGTCAATTTTTTACAGCTTTAGCTCAGCTGGGAGAGCGTTAGATTGAAGATCTAAATATCTTGTGCTCGTTCTGCAGAAATCGCATTCAGTATTTGTTTAATCGGTTTCCATTCACGGTTTTTGAGTTTCTATAGAGGTTATTACTCCTTAGATCATTATCAAGCGAGCTATTTTAGTTTTAGGCGTAGAAGGATGTTGGGAGGGTTAGGTTACGCCTATTCAATGAGGGATTGTGCATGCCCCAACCCTTGCATCCAAAAGAGCTCACTCCTAGAACTAATTAAAATTATCACAAACAAGATATCTGAAAAAGATATGCAGTATTATGCGACCTAAGCGTAACAATGCTAGCAATAGTATGTATAGTGCATGTGCACATGCGTGCTGCCTCACTCCCATCAGACTGTGAAAGGGGAGACATGTAACTGTTTTACGATAAAGAGCAACAAAGGGACTTGAGGAAACAAAACCAAATTTAAGTCTTGCAGAAAGCTACCAAAGGAGAATAGAGGAAAAAAAAATTCAGATAGTGATTATTACGGACTACAGCCAGGTCTATCTATATTACCGGGTATCAGAGCTATATATAAAATACTTCAGAGTATTCTCCCGAAGCTTTGTGACCCAAGGCAGCAGGGATAATTGTAGACTCATGCCAACTTTTCCTTGCTACTTCAGCGAATCGGTAGTTTTTCATCCAGTTTTTGGAATCGGGATGGTCCTCAAGCTGGCCCGTTACAGCGTTCTAGTCGGTTTAAAAGGAGATAAGATACCTTGCCTAACAACGAAAGTTTAAGGATGCATGTTTTTTATAGCCGAATCGGGGTTCCAATACCTGGATACTTTTAGCATGCTACACAGACCCAATCTTCGAAGAATTTAAACCTAGTAATCAAAGAATTTTACATCTACGAGAAGCATCACTAGCTGCCTAATTATCGAGGGGGTTCTACAAAGCCAGCAACCGAAACCTGCTACAATAAAATAGCTGTGATCGGAAATCATTTCCAGAAAGCCCTAACTTACCAGAGACGTACTGGATAGACCTTATGTATCGGCTTTACACTCAAAAGGTACTGCTTTTCCGGTCCCAATCACCACACGGCGGTGAATAGAGCTAATAGGCTAACCATATAACATTCATTACACGTATCAATCTCAACAAAACCAATTAAGATGAAAGCAGAAGTACCATAATTTTACTTAGAGGAGAAAGTGGGATCAGTCATTGCGTTATTCAGTCACTTTGTCGATTACTGAGGACTCGCAAGACCTTTCTTGTATCTGTGATCTACAGGGCCCAATTAGTCGAAAATGGACCTATTTATCATTAGAGAGCTGAATACCCTTGCGCCAAAATTAAATATCATAAAATCTAGAGACTATGTGACACCACCGATGAATCGTCTACGCATAAGGATGATCTAGAATAACATTGGCATTAAACTTTTCCTTCTCAAAGTCTCCAGAGCGCACTGTAATCCAAGAGGTGATATAGATTTCTAAACACACTTTTAATCATTGCTACACACCTGGGGATGCTAGAACTCAATTTTTTATTCAAAATCAAACGGTTGACTGGAATGTATTGGATATGAACGTTATTGGAACCAGCCACTACTCAACGTGTGCTAATAGCAAGAGTTACCTCATCGCACGTCACTCATGCCCCTACCTTGTCTGATTTAACCAGTATTGTCGGCATATAAAGACTTATTCATCCTCTCTAAAGTGTATATATGTTATGAATAAAGTAAAACGCTGCCATCTGGATAGATATACCGCGTGTAATATTTGACAATCTCCAAAAGCTATTATCGATTCCAGCGGAAAGATTGAGAAGCTGGCACCATGACAAACAGGGGATGATTCACCAGAAACTAAGGAGAAAACCTCATGCTCAGCCAACCAGCTTGGACGGAAGACACAGAGGTGAGCCATTTACCGTACCTTCCGGTGAGAGATCACAGTGTCCTGAATCTCGGCATTACCGTTACACAGCTATCGAGCGAAAACAGCTATATCTCACTCGGAAGTGACCCACCTTATATTACACCTAGCTAGGCCATCAAACCTCGGATAACTTACACAACTTAAACAATATCTTTATTTATAAGTATACAAAACTACACCAGGGAACGGGCGCGGCTTAGAAAGCCTTGTTCAAAGGAGAAGAAACGTGCTTACCCTTGTAGAAAGCAACAGTCTTCTCGGCTCTGGAAGCAACACCCTCTTTGTTGAACTCGAAGAAGTCGTAGACCTTTGGAGCTGGACCGGAGGCACCGAATCTGTCCAAACCAAACTGTTGGTGAGAGTACTTGGCCCAACCGGAGGTGGACATGACTTCGATGGACAAGATTGGGACACCATCTGGGAGAACAGACAATCTGTAGTCATGAGACTGCTGGTCGAAGGTGTGGAAGTCTGGCAAGGAGACAACGCCGGCCTTGATACCCTTGGTTTCCTCCAAGAACTTAGAGGCTTCCACAGCCAAAGACACTTCGGAACCAGTGGAAATAAGGATGATGTCGGCATCGGCCTTCTCGACCAAGGTGTAACCACCTCTAGAGGCCTTGGCGATGGAAGAACCTTCCAACTGTGGCAAGTTCTGTCTGGACAAGGCAATCACCGACGGGGTGTGCTTGGATTCCAAGGCCTGCTTATAGGCTGCAGAAGTCTCATTACCGTCAGCCGGTCTCCAGACCATGCAGTTCGGAAGAGCTCTGAAATGGGCCAAGGTCTCGATAGGCTGGTGGGTTGGACCGTCCTCACCCAAACCAATGGAGTCGTGGGTGGCGACCCAGATGACTGGGTGGCCAGAGAGGGCAGACAATCTTAAGGCACCGGAGGCGTAGGAAACAAAGTTCAAGAAAGTACCACCGTAGGTCTTGAAGGCACCGTAGGCAGAGATACCGTTCATGATGGCACCCATCCCGTGCTCTCTGACACCGTATCTGATGTATCTACCGGCGTACGTACCCAATCCGGTGGACGGAGGCTGGAAGTCGATTGCCTCCTTCCATCTGGTCAAGTTGGAGCCAGTTAAATCGGCGGAGCCACCAATCAACTCTGGGAGGGTGTCGTGGACGGACTCGATGACGATCTCAGACAACTTTCTGGAGGCGACAGCGGCGTCTGCTGGGGTGTAGACAGGCAACTTGGAGGTCCAGTTCGCTGGAAACTCACCGCTGATTCTTCTGCTCAACTCAGCCGCCTCTTCTGGGTACTGGACAGCGTACTTGGAGAACAACGCGTTCCATTCCTGTTCGGCGGCAATACCGGAGTCAATGGTCTTTTGGTACAAGTCATGGACTTCCTGTGGGACCACAAAGGACTCATCAGGGTTGAAACCCCACTTTTCCTTCAATTGCTTGATGTCGGCTGGCTTCAATGGAGAACCGTGCACACCATGGGTGCCCTCGTTCAAGGAGCCGTAACCAATGGTGGTGGTCAATCTGATACAGGTTGGCTTGTCGGTGACCTTCTTGGCCTGCTCAATAGCCTTAGCCACACCCTCAATATCGTTGTTACCATCCTTGACCCAGATAACGTTCCAGCCGTACGCCTCCAATCTCTGGGTGACGTCTTCGGTGAAGGCGCAGTTGGTGTTACCGTCGATGGAGATGTGGTTGTCGTCGTAGAAGGCGATCAACTTGTTCAACTTCAAGTGACCGGCAAGGGACATGGCTTCGGAGGCAACACCCTCCATCATACACCCGTCACCGAAGATACAGTAGGTGTAGTTATTAGAGATTTCGAAGTTTGGCTTGTTGAACCTGGCAGCGATGTGAGCCTGGGCCATGGCCATACCGATGGCGTTACAGATACCTTGACCCAATGGGCCAGTGGTGACCTCGACACCTGGCAATTCAAACTCAGGGTGACCTGGGGTCTTGGAGTTCAACTGTCTAAAGTTACGCAAGTCGTCAAGAGAGAAGTCGTAGCCGAACAAGTGGAGGAGAGAGTACAAAAGGGCGCACGCATGGCCGTTGGAGAGCACAAATCTGTCTCTGTTCAACCATTCAGGGTTCTTTGGGTTAAATCTCATCTGGGAGTAGAGCACGTGGGCGGCTGGGGCCAAGCCCATCGGAGCACCTGGGTGGCCCGAGTTTGCCTTGGCAACAGCGTCGACGGCGAGAAGACGGATGGTGTTGATGGCCTTGATATCGATGTCGGAGAAAGCCATTGTATGTAATGATGGGGAGTAGGTGAAAGCGGAGTAAAGGAATTACGGGGGAGGCGCAAATATATACAAAATCAGGGCACCCACGAGGTGAAAAAATCGGGGTCGGCGTCGCTGCCCCTCTTTGGGTTGGGACTCGATCCGTGTTGGCCGGGTTACGTAATTATTTGTAGGGTCGGCCCGTGTAATCCACGTGATGCGTGCCTGGTTGGCGATAAGCGCAAGCGCTGTTGCCCTCGGAATACGAGGGGAGAATGAACTCCGGGATCGGTACGCGCACGCATCGGAGGGGAGAAGTCCAGACTTTGTGGCTCTTGCAGATTAGTCATATGCTTAGGTACAGGCTTATTCAGGTTCACCAGGAACTACGGGGTCGGAAGCCGCTGTGCCGGGGTCGGAAGCCACTGTGCCCGAGGTGGGACCCCATGACTATTGTGTATACGAAAATTACTAATTGTACGGAACTATGAATGAGCGGAACCTGCGGGGAAGCAACCTACAGGTTGCAAAGTCTGTGCAAGGCGAATAGCATACAGCCGGAGGATAAATACTTTCCGTATATGAAGCTGGGGTATGCCCGGGAACGAGGGGTGATCTCCTTTTCTTCTTCAGAACCATCCTCGGAAATCCCATCGACGTGTGCGGTCAGCACCCCACCTAGAATGTGACCGTATTAGAGAGTGCTGGCAATCTCTAAGGATAAAAGATTACGCGGGCAAAGCAAAGATAAAATCTCCGGCACAGCACTGTTCCGCCGAAAAAGCAATGTTGAATATGACTAGATACGGGGGATTCTTAGGAAGCGGTTAATATCGACGTCAAAAAGGGTGAATATCACAGATAGAGTGGCTAAAAAGTCGAACTCCTTGAGGTAGTACTGACGTTTATCGACTGAATATGTAGGCTATTAGAGTCTTTTTGAACAAGAGGCGGGAATGCAATAGAAATGTTGGTACTGATTTTTCATAGAAACTTAAGCCCGTTTCGGATACATACAAGAGAGGAATTTGTCTAAAACGCATGGGAAGTAAGGGTTGTTAGCTTTCATTCAGATTTTCATCCGTAATGAACTAAAAACGAAAACAAATATATTGATGGAGAGTTGTCGTTTAAGACTCCATACAGTGGGATTCCTACGAAAACACAACGGATAACAAAAACTGTCCCATTTAATTAGATGGGCATTTAACAGGTTTGTTTTTAATTAGATCTTTCTGCCAGGCCTGTCAGGTGAAACAGATATTGTTTCGCAATTTTGATATAGCGAATTAGTTCCTACGAAGTTTAATGGGTTTTTGGTTGGGTATTGTCTCGTAAATTTTCTGCAATATTCAAAGTTCTGTATAAAAGGTAAATTATTCAATTAGCCGATGAGGTAAAATTGCGCTCTTGACCATCGATGCAGGCAGCTACGGAAGCGTCGGAACATTAGGTCGATGCCCGAGGCTTCCAGTGCATGCGTCGCTGCAGCCAATTTTGGAATATCTTGTTTACACATGAAAACGAGGGGGGCGGAGAGGTACCACGGCGCATGGAGAATCAGCTAGACGAATTCTCCTTTAACTCCAGTGAATGTACAGAAGCATTGAACTATTTTATCGGCTGATACTATTGAATAATGATGTAGATCGGCTCTGAATTCTAACAGCCACACCAGTATATCATTTAAGACGCTATCGTGATTACCGCCACCTCTAACTCTGGATTTATGTGTATTTAATCTATACTTATAGAAATACTTTTATTTTTTAGTTACACGCCAAAGGGACCAAACGAAACATAGGGTACAAGAAAGCTTGCTGTAATCTGCAGTGTTTAGTAGGTGATTTGAATGAAAAGGTTAGCTGAATTTCACTAGGATGAGACGTGTAATTTTTAGGCCTATAAGAATACCTCCAGGGAAGGCGAAGACTGTTATTGACGCTCCTGGGAATACCAATAATTAAGGTCACACCGCACAGTGTAAATGGAATACCAATATAGAGATAGGCTCGGCTTAAATTTTTACCTCCCGTAAATAGTGTAGTCCAATTGATATGATAATAGTACCCAGACAGCACCTGATTTCAATATCCGCACTGTATGAGCGCATTATTATACACAATATATTTACAGCTACTAAGGATCGAATTGGAATATCCACTCTCATTGACTTCCTATATCGAATTGGTACCATTACTGGTGAAATACTTGTGAACCGCCGTCTAGCTGACGCACATTTCCAGAGAACAGCTGGTCATGTCCAGTGGCAGGACTTGCACTTGGCAGAATACTGTCAGAGAGTCACTGCTGTTTACCGCTTGCATTAGTCTGAAGCTATTTCCAAGATCGAACAAAACGAGTACGTCGAGCAGACTATCTCCTTGTTGGATATGCAGGACCATGGCTAAGCCATTATTGGTGAGGTTGGCCGGGGGTTGAATTTCGAATAGCGTAAAAAACTTGTCCATTGCCATCAAATTGGTCTTCAAGTCTTTCTTGTTCTTGGATGAGCCAACTTCTGGGGTAGGTTCTCAATCTGCCTTGTTAATAATTCGGGCTTTGCGTGCCTTGTCTGATTCCGACCAGGCTATCTTGTGTACCATCCACCAACAATCGACCACTTTGCTTGAGGTTTTCGACAGATTGATGTTGAAGAAGGGTGGTAGAATTGTCTACCTTGGCGATGTCGACCTGAACTCTGAGGCCATATCGAACTACTTTGAAAGGCAGTTTGGGATTAAGTGTGATGTGTTCGAGAATCTCGTTGAGCACATCTTGAACTGTATCAGTGTTGGAGCTACAGCCCGCTCCGAGTTGGCTTCTGATTGGGAAGATTTTTGAGATGAGTCTCCGGAGTGTACCCACGAATGCGCTGTCATCGATCAATTTCACTGTGACTTGCCACAAAAGCCTGTTTGCAGAATATCAAAGGCTTGGGGTCCAAGTGTTGCACCTTTTACAGAAACAAAATTTCTTTTGTCAACAGAATCAGACTTTAGTTCTGGAGATCTCCAGTCTATATATGAGTCAATTACTTTGGGGCTGTTATTTGTGCCCTTTTTGTCGACTTCTCTTTTGTTAAGGCCAATCACTTTCTTGCTGCCTTCTAATTTGTGATATTATCGGTCTACATTTTGTTGATTAACTCTTTGGCCTTGCTTAACCAGATCCACGTTTATGTCTACGATTCTAGAATTGTTTGAAGACAGGAAATCCGTGTCCAATATTTTCCACTGGTCTACTTTGTTGCCCCAGACTACCTGGGAGATAATTTGGTGTATTTCTTGTCAATTCATATATTTATACCCCCCAGCTGGTTTTTTTGCCACCCCAGAGCACGCCGGTCATTTCTCAATGTTCGTGATCATGTTTCCATTCTACTACGTTTCTTATGGGTTGTGGATTTTATGTTTCTCTCCAAATGTTCCGTCCGCTGCTATGATTAATTCCGACATTTTTGCTGTCATAATGTTTTATGGGATCTTTCAACAATATGACTTGATGCCAGGCTTCTGGACTTTTATACACGAGGCCTCTCCGTTCACGTATCTTACCCAGTCTTTTGTTTTCCCTTAGTTGACAAGAAAGAGTTGATCTACAAGCCATATAGATACTCTATTGTTGATCTTTCAGTCGGTCAGACCTGCGGTGAGTACGTGAGTTACTACACCAATACCTCCGGTGACTATATCGGTAGCCCAGCTGCCACCAGCTTATGTGAATACAGTCCATACACCACCCAGGCCGAGCCAATGGCCCTTGTCAACATCAAGTGGTTCCAAAAATGGAGAAAATTTAGTTTCAAGCTTGTCTATACCATCTTTAGCTTTATTGCCATATTGAGTTGGTACTATATTATGAGGGCCAAGGTCTGGAGCTTGAAATTTATCTTGGACTTTAAGAAGCGGTTCCACGGTCCAAAAAAGGACAGACACGATCCAGAATATAATGACTTCGCCACTCAACTGGGTGACGAAAAAGTGGTCAAAGTGCAGTGTTTTTTTTTATTTTTAATAACACCTTTTAAAATCTAATCGACTATTATCTCTGTGCACTATAATATCCATGTCTCGATTATATTTTCTTTGCAGTCGTACATTTTAATATCAATTACATCTATTTGGACAAGTATGACGGTTATTAGATGGATCTTGAATTTATCTAAAAGGTTATAATATATCGTTAACAAAATCATTTTTACGTTCACGGAATCCTTTTTATTGCTAGGTTATCCGTCCGAGGCAGTCCCTGCGCGGTCTACTGGAATATAATGCATCCTGCATTCATTGAGATAAGGAAAGGGTCGACGGGCACGGAAGCGTTGAAGCACGGTGAAAGTATAACATGTTTCCGGGGTATGTGCCAGTGTATATGGGATCTTATCGGGATCTTTGGGTTTTTGTAGAATCGAAGCGTAAAGCGTTGGGAGAGTCATACTAGTGTGGTGACTTTGCACAATGCCACCTTACCGAGCGGCGTATTCATGGTTTGAGTTGTATCACGACCAATCCCTTGCGAGTGCTAGTTCCGTTCCTCAAACCTTCAACCCTTTTCTTACTGAACACCATGGGTTTTCCAGGCCTGGTCTATATTGCGTTTAGAATCACAAAAGATTGAGCTATGTGCGGGGAAACCCAAATACTACAGGGCCGGCAGACTGCGGAGAATCTAATCGCGCATGACGGCAGTCTGGTAAAAAAGGCTTCCGTCGGACCGCTCGCAAACTTATCGTCCCATCTAAGGAACGTGGGCGTAAATGCCCCACTAAAAGTGCAAATAATGACTTTTGCAAGAGTTTAGTAGATAAAACGCTAGGAATATGCCGGCTCTGATTGTATATGATCAAAATACTGCCCACACTACCCAATAACGGTCTGTACTGGTCCCGCTTATAGTTCGCGCAATTGTGTGCACACTATCTCCGTGCTACTTTTCTGCCAGCGAGCTGGTAGCGTCCTATATGTCAGCGAGAGCCACCATTCACGCTATAAATCGTGCCGCTCCCCATCCGTAAGAGCCGGAGCAAGTGGTTACATGCCACATCATCTTGTAGCGGATTAGTGTACTATTTCAGACAATGCTGACAACGTACAGATATTATATTATCCCCGGATACCCTCGTAGAGCTTTCTCTTATCGCTTACAAATCGCGCCATACGAACACACGTTGCTTTTTCCTGCATCCAGGTCACATCACATTTTCGCGCCTTTTTTCGCTGCGCTTTTGATTTTCGAATCGAAGGGCCGGCGTTACCTTCTGGCGCTTATTGGTACGTTGTTTGCTTGTGACACGTTTGAGCCATTGTTAATCAACCATATACCAGTTTACCGATCCCACACGAAGAAACGGTAGTACACAAGACCTTGCATGCCGTTCTACCCTATCGGCACCTATCCTCATTAATCATCACAACCGCACCTTCAATCTCTCTCAGCCAATCCGTGTCAGTCAAGCCATCTCAGCTAATACCACTTACTGGCACCATCTAGCTAATCGTACATACTATCCTCAGCAAGACGTATTCGCAAAAGCTAACTGCAAACGGTAACAAAAGAGAATCTCAATAAGGTGCTATCACAGTCCCTGTCAGTAATCACATCCTTCTACTTGGACAACCACGCGACCAATCAATCTGTGCCTAGCTATTTCACACCATCTGATTTGATCCGCTCATCTTGATCCACATCCCACAGTTTTTCCATGTCCAACTTTCCCCAGGACGTGCTGATGATGGACTACAGCCAGCAGAGTTTTTACACTGGCGCGCCGGCGAACGAGGTTTACTCAACGCAGCAAAAGAGACAGAACTCGCACTCGTACAACCCCAACAGCAATCCAAAACGCACCATCTACAGCGCACCGTCGCCGCCTGTGAAGGTGTCGCCAGACCAGCCGCGGCTCGGGGCGTATGTGCAGACTACTCCCACTCCCTCCGCCTACAACCCCCCGAACACGCATGACGTACCGGCTTCGCCTGAGGCGCCGTTCGGAGGCGTAAACCGTTCGCCAGAGGAACTGAGCGAGGAGCAGAACGACGGCACAAACCCCGTGTCTGGGGTCTACGACCAGTCGTCACGTTTGGTTACGGAGGAGGACCAGCAACTCGCAAAGAAGCTAAAGGAAACCTACAAGAACATCATCCGGCTCGAAGAGCAGTGCCAGAAGGGGTGTCTTGAAATCAACACCAAGCTCTATCACCAGGAGGCTGTACCGACGATCTCACAGGACTTGTGGACGCTCTACCACGTGAATGTAGGGCTTCTCGATTCGTACTACGATTTCCTCCTCTGTGCACTCCGGCCGCTGGCGTCCAAAACAGGGCGTCAGATCGTTAATGTGTACAAGATCCCGCGGCGACTCTGGGTATACGGTATTGTGGGCTTCCTCGAGGTGTTGAAAAATGTGGTGAACGTGTTCATGGAGCACGAAATCTGCGCGTGCTTCATCTCATACGCATTCAACATTCTTGCCGCGCTCACCGACACGTCCTTCGACATGCAGGGCTGGTGGGCAGAGAAGTTGGGTGACCTCTCGCGCATGGCCATTGCCCTCTACCCGTCGCGCTTCATCGACTGGAAGGTGTCGTCCGAGACTTGGTACGCGCTCGCGATGAAGACACAGTTCGGGCACGGCAAAATCTACTACCACATGCTGACGGTGCAGCAAGACAACCTTGATGCGCTCGTCAATATCGGCAAGTCCGTCACGTGCCGTGACCCGTTTGTACCGACCGCGCAGTATCTCCGCTTGGTGGTGGAGAACATCTGCAACCAGCGCAACGTGCTCACCAGCGTAGAGCTCCCGACTATTGACTTTATCAAGATCCACAAGATCCTCTTGATGCCCACATACCCCGAGAACCCCGAAATGGTACTGTTGGTCAGCCGGTACCTGCGCAACTTTGGCGTGGACCCACAGGGCCTCAACTTCTTCAGCAACCCGCATGCACTCACGCTTGAGAAGTTGACGTTCTGGTTTGCCAAGGGTGCGCATTTCGCGCTTGCCAACCTCACGCACGTGGCCGGCTTCGGCGACACGCGCAATCCATTTGCGCGCCTCTTTGCGCTCCCGGAGGCGTTGAAGGAGCGCAAGGAGAAGAAGGAGCGCAAGCGCAAGTCGCGTGATGACACGCGTGACGACGCGCTGTCGGTCACCGAAGACCCGCGCGCGTTATCTGCACGCGACATGAACCAGCTCAACTGGTTTGAGTGCCTCGAGTTCGTTAACAAGGGCGCGTTGGAGCTCGCCGTGCGGATGCTCGACGCGTACCTCTCGGGCCCCACGTCTGCGTCCACCACGCATATCATTGTGTGGCTCTACTTCCTCGTCGCACTCGGCGAGGCGGCTAATAAGCATGCGTCCGCGAAGCTTATGGTGGAGTACTTTGTCGCCAAGTTTGTGCCATGGGATGCGTTTATCAACTACCTCAACGACCTCTTGTACGATATCCAGCACAAGCCTGCGCTCGTTGAGCTTGCCAAGTTCCACAATTCATCGCCGGAGGTGGCCCTCGCAGGCGGCTTTTTGAACTACTACAACCACCATGAGACGCTTCCCGAGGTATTCAAGTGCTGGGGCACACTCTGGTTTGACTTTGTAGACCTCAAGACTGACTACACCTCCGCCGCTCAGGCCGGCTTACTGCGCGACATCTTCGACACCCCAGGTGCCGGCAGTAAGTTCGCGGCGGACGAGGAGCCCGAGCGCTTGGTGCGTATTTTGCTCCTCGCTAAGTTCGTCGCTGACACCTACAACTTCGGGCTTATTCGCGACGAAGGCGGCTTCAAATTCTCCGCTGACAGCTACAAGACGCAGGCGGCCGTAGAGGCGCAGTTTGGCACGGCGGCTGCGTTTGCTCGCGATCTGCGCATTGCTGCGCTCCCAGGCCCTGTCACGAGCCTCTACGTTGGTCGTTCGGGTGCGTGCACGCTTACGCCCACGGAGAAGGACGCACTATGGTTGGTGCTTGGTGGCAGTCGCAAGGATGAGGACGAGGATGACGGCTACGAGTCTGAGACCGGTGCAGCCGGTGATATTGAGGATGAGGATGAGGACGACGAAGCGTTCGTTGCGCCGGGTGCGGCGCCTGATGACATGGGTGACATGGGTGACCGCGTTGACTCGCGTGTCACGCACATCACATTGGATACCAACATTTGGTTGAAGCACTGCGGGCGCATCTTCAAGTGCATTCGTGCGGGGATCCTTCGTATCAGCATTCCGTTGACGGTATTCCAGGAATTGCGCCTGTTGCGCCGGTCACAGGACGGTGCGGTGTGCGATGCAGCGACGCGCGCGGTTATCACCGTGCGTGAGTTGAACAGCGAGGGCCGCGTGGTGCCGTTGCGTTTTGATGGAACCGTTGCGTCGTCTTTGAACGAAATTACCGAGTTCGAGAACAATGGCAACTGGCGCAGCAACATTGACCAGATGGTCTTGACGGCCGTGCGCGAGCACGACGAGATGGGCCGCCGCTTGTTGAAAGGAAATGGTGTACAGCTCGCCGCGCGCATCATGACCGCACAGGAGGCTGCAGAACTCCGTTACTGCGTGCTTGTTACCGACGACCGCAATATGCGCCTCCGTGCCAAGACTGTCGGTGTTGTGGCTTACCATGGCAAATGGCTTTTCAGTCAGATTGAGCATATCGCTGAGGGTCGCTGCACTGACTAGGATTGCATTCTAAAACATGGCTCAGTTAGTTATTAATATAGGTGCTTCGTAGTGAGACGGAGATCTGTAGATTGACCTTTCACGATCGAGAGAAATTAAATTGAGCCACTAGTTTACCAGCGAAATGTCAATGTCATTTCCGAAACGATAGTGTTAATTCTGGCGACTATGAGTCGCGGCAGGCTTGGGATGTTCCATTTCCATGAATGCGTTACACTGGTTGAAATAAAACTTGGATGGCTTGAAATATTTCGCATTATATAGTCCCAAAATACCTAGAAAAGTTCATATCGTTGCACATGCTTCCAGTTATGGTGTTTCGTATATCTGCTCATGATACAAAAGGGATAGTTTCTGTTCGTTTATGAGCGGCATGCCTCAATACCAACGCGTCTTTACGCTTGGTAAGGTGTTAGTGGAGCTCCTCGAAATCCCTTGGAACTTTTCTTGTATGGGTCATTATGGATCTTTTTACATTTTTTTAACGATTACCAGCCCACAAGTCTTAGGAACAGTGAACCTCTAAACTAGAGAAAAAAACAACAAAAATTGAGGGATAAAGCTCTTTCGACCTATTCGCAGAAAACAGGTTTGAGATAGAGCATGCCACTGTGGCATTTATCTATGATTGCCGCCAGCAGAGCGGAAATATGTATGGAAACCAAGAATTATCCTGATAGTTAAAAAGACATGTGACGTATCTCTCACCCATCAGAAAATACGGTGTGTGAGAGATATACTAACAATAAATCAGATTAAACTCAATATTACCCGGAAATTGCATGTAGCTCAACAGCTAGACTTTACCAAGATAACGGGGAACATACTTAAAGGAAATAATACCAGAAAAGAGGCTACAAAACAAAAAAATAGAAGCTATGCACCGCGTTTTAAACTACCTCAGAAGTTCTTATCAACCAACTCCTTGACCAACTTGTAATCATCCTTTTCGGAGTAGTCGAGCACGACAATCCCGCAGCCCTTTCCGAAACAATCCTGGATATTCGCGTCGCTCATGCACTGGGCGATCTTTTCTGGCCAGCACTCTGGGTTGAAGAAGTTGGAGCCACTGCAGAAGTTGAGGAACAACTTTGGGTCGGCCGGATTAGTCGCGTTGTACTGGATTGCCTGCGATGTCAACTGCTTGACATAGTCGGACTTCTTTTGGACGTCGTTGGTGTCGTTCAACTCACAGAAATCTTGAACGCGGATCTCACCGCGGTCGTCATCGGTGGTGTTGTACGTCCACCAGTGGGCGTCAATACCGAGGTTCTGCGAAAGCTGTTCGTCCTTCACCCCGAACCGTCTGAACAACACGGCCTTGCCTCTGGTGTCACCTAGGCGCGGAATCCCCGACCCCAAGTACCATTGGTCCTGGTGCGGGCGCACATAGTTCTCCCAAATTACCTTAGGAAACTCGTCAGAGTCATTATCCCATGTGTCCTGGCCCTCTTGCTTCAAGGAAACAATCACGGTCTCGGAGCCGTGGCTCTGCAAAAAAGCGTAAACCTCATCCAAAACTTTGGCCAATTTGAGGGGGAATGGAATCTTTACGGGAAACTTGCCGTGAATAACCTGCAAATCGTTTGCATCGTCGCCAGACGCTAAAAACAACTTTGCACAACGAATATCCAAGAAACGAACCCCGTGGTTCAACTGATCAGTGACAGAAGCCCCTTGACACTGCACCGAAGGAAGGGCCACGTGGCATGCAGCACTGTTGTGGGTTCCAGGGACGGAAAGACTCGAGAGTTTAGCGTCGTCGTTGACGTCTTTCATCCATTCGTTGTATTGCACCATTGTATTCGATATTTCTTGTGATTGTCAGTTCAAGTGGAGATGCTTCTGTAGCGGTGGGGAAGTTCAGGGGCTTTCAATATTATTTGAAAGAAGTTTTTTTGTGCATAGAATGTCCGATGGAAAACAGAGAGGGTTGCAATAAATTAGATTTACTGCGGATTGTGCATGCCGCCGCTCGAAATGTCAGAAGCTCGGTCTAACCTGCCACTTCGCATATACCGGGACGCAGCGAATTTCAGGATGCTCTTTCATGGATAATTGAAGCGGCACGTACTGGGATGCGAGCGCGAGAAAGTTTCCGGCACCGATGCGTGTGTGCGAGTTTAGCCTGATGAGCCCCGCCAACAGCGTGTCGCCCGTACCCAACTCCCGCACCTTCACGACGATAAAAAGGTCTGAGGTTTGGTGAGGGATCACCTGTTCAATTGCATGCGTGGGAGGTTGGGGAGCCTCGTAGTCAAATTGGGTGAGGTCGTACCAGTTGGCGAGGCCTTGTACGGAGTTGAGCACCTGTGCGGTGGCTCCGTCCACGCTGGGAGACTGGAAATGGGGAGGGAGGAACCGGGATGAAATGGAATTAGTGGGGTCAATAGTGTCAGGGAGGTTTGCCGTGGAATGGAAGCTGGGCGCAAACTGATTGATATCGACAGCATCTAGGGGCTTCGCATCAAAAGGTGTCGTTGTAGAAATTTTTATTTTATCCAGGGAGCTCTTCGCTTTGGCCTGCAAGCTAAAAATGGAGATTCCTGGTTTGGGTCCTTCCCCAGTCTTGAGTCCTTCCTCAAAAACGAGCTTTCGCAGAGTGGACGTGAGATCCACCTGACTTAGGATTCCCCTGGATCTAGAAGAAAGCGTGATAGAGGTCTTTGGAGGTGATTTAAAAACAGATCCCATCAGCGAAATTCGTTTACCCGCGGATTGTTTAGATTCAATCTTTGCAGAGAGGGACAAGATCAGACGCGGTTTCCGCGTGGGTCCCGCGGGGAGACAATCAGCTTGGGAAGGCTCCATATTAGGACTCGATATATGTGATCCTTTTCTGATACCGAGAGCTCAAAGTACCAGACGCCGGTAGTGAATTTTTGCCGTCCAGCCTTTGGGAGGAGGAGTGTTGGAGTGTGTTAATGTTTGCCTTCCAAACCGCGCATACATGAGTTTTTTGGTGACGCTATAAGAGGTGCGGCGCGGCGCGGGTGGTGCGGCTTTACTGAAGCTAAAGGGCTATATATCACAGCTCTCTACAAGGTTTCTTAGAATATATACATGTGTATATCACTATTTACAATTCTTATCAAAATTAATTAGATCCGGTATCTTTCAATTTGCGTAACATGTACAATAAGTCCTGAGACTAATAAAATACTCACGTTTGCTTTTAATATCTAACTATAAACATCCACGACAGTATCGAAGGAAAGTTTCGGACCTTATCTCCCCTCTCTATAGCTATCGGAATCCAGCAATCTATTCTCTCGCCGGGGGTGGTGGAGGTGGTGGAACGCTGCCGGTATTCGCGCCCGAATACTGCTCATCCATCTTGCGGCTCTTGTCCAACTCCTCATTCAAATAATCGTTAAACTCGTAGTTCGCGCCGTAAGTGTTGCCCGGCGCTCTGCTTTTCTTCTTTGTGCGCGGATGCTGTGTCTGAGATGCAAGCATCGCGGGCGTGATGAGGTCGGCTGGGTTGGACACTGGCAACGGCTCTGGAACTGGGGAGGCCGACTCGAAAAGTACATCGCTGCCACTCTGGGACTGCACCGCAGAATCCCACTTACCAAATACCTCTGGAACTCTGTGTAAGTAACCGTAGCCCACGTCGCAACCTAAACGGAACTCTGGAAGTGCACCGTTGGAGGTCAAGGTTGGGAAGTTGATGTTCACCGGCCGCACCACGTCATAGTCATGGTTGTACACATACAAAACCAAGTCATCCATGGCGGTCTTTTGTGGCCTGTGACTTTGGTCGTAGTGGAACTGCGAGTTGTACTTCGAATAGTAGCTAGTCATCACCTTCGACAACAACGTTTCTCCGCCCGTGCACAAAAGCCCGTCGTTTCCCACTGCCATGATGTAGTCGCTCATGGGTATAAGCCCCAACTTTTCCGCGTTTGTGTCAGGTTGAACGGACAAAACACGCCACACGTACGTGGCGGCGGCCAACGGCTGGAGCTGAAGCTTGAGTCCGAGCTTTTCAAAGAGTGTCTGCGAGATAACGCTTTGGTTGTACGGGTCTTCGGAGGTTTCCGGGTTCGTAGGTGTGATTGGGATTTCTCGTAATGATAGAGCCTGTTCTACCGCATCCACGTGTAACGTCACAGTGCGCACCACCCCGCCCTTGGCAGACCAGACAGTAACAGACCCAGCCCCACGGCTCAATTCCTCAAAGAACACCTGGTGATCAATAGCAAAACCGTTGCTGGTCTGGATATACAGTAAATTGTGTCCGTTAACTCCCACGATGTAGTCAAACCATGACTCAAACTGGGCGTCGGCACTAACAGATAAGACGCGCAACCCCTGAGTGAACCCTTTGAAATACGGATCGGAAGCGTCTGACGGTTGGTTGAGAGTATTGGATAACTGGCCGGCGGTATCTACGAGCTTTTTGGCGAAGGAGGCAAACATTGTGAGGTGGTAATGGATGGGGGATGAGGCCGAGACGTGCGAGTCGCTGTTATTTGCACTGCGAACATGAACTGAGGATGCGCGAATCTGAATAGCGGTTTGACGTTCGCGAAACCATGCCTCAAACTGTAATCGCGAACTAGCACCCAATCCGCGAAATAAGAGCTGGACAAACGATACTGTCGGTAACGGTGTGGTGGCGGAAGCTTTTATTTTATACGAGTGAAAGCCCATAGGTAAAAATAACCGAGCTAAAACTGGATTAGTTGAAATCCGGATAATCTATCGCGTCAAATTAGGCTTATACTGGTACGTCTCCACGTTGGTGAGCTTCAATGTGTAGTAGACATATATTCACGGGCCGAATATCTCGCCTGCGGTGCCGAACTCCGTCTCGGCTCGTAGTGAAACTGATTGGGGACCCATGGACCCTGAAGTTTTTAAGACCCACTTTAATCCACCCTGTAATGTTTTATTTCCTAGAGATAGCAGAACTATGTTCACCCTTTACTTGATAACCTCGGTGCTCCTTATCCTTCCGACGAAGGTCCTCTATCACATTCTTCTCCACCACACCGTTGGTTCGACCTTCGTCTGTAAAGATATCCGCTCCTTGATTTGGGTGCTATTTACCCATCACATCCTGGAATACTGTTCGGTTCAGGATATTGTAGCGTCGCCTAAACGGCTGGCACCGTTGAAGACCACATTTTCCTGGGCAAAGCCGTTTCTCCAGAAGGAGATTCCGCTCCCTCGAAACTTTGGCAAGGTTTACATGGAATCAGAGCAGGGTGATGCTGTGTGGGTGGTAGAAGCAGACAGGATACGGGCAGACGATCCCGTCATTTTTTACTTGCACGGCGGTGGAATGGTACTGCCTACTTCGGTCGCCCAGCTCAAGGCGCTTGCCTACATTCACCTCGGAACGGGCTGCGAAAGACTTTCTATCCTCGCCGTCAATTATTCATTGTCACCAGAAGCCGTTTATCCGGTGGCTATCAACGAGATCGCATTCATATACCACCAGTTGACCGTTGGTGATGGGCACAGTAATGTAATTTTGATGGGTGATTCTGCCGGTGCATTGCTTGCTGTTTCCTTGATGAAGCATATAAAGATGCCTGTAGATGCTATTGCCGTCAAAATTCCGACTGGAAAGGTTCCTAAGGCGGCGATTCTTATCTCCCCTTGGCTTAACTTGAACCCTAAATACACAGGCTCCTACGCCCGGAATAGTTACTCAGACAAGATTACTTTCCGCTTGTGTAAAATTACCAGTGAGGCTTATCAACCCGACAGAAGTTTGCGATTACTTCCAGAGGTTAGTCCTTATGATACAAAAGAAGAGGACTGGAAGGGTGTGTTGCCCTCTGAGATGCTAGTGGTGGCTGGTGAAAGAGAAACGATGTTTGATGATATCGTGTCTTGGACACTAGCCGCGAAAGTCAACCCGTCCTGCCTTTTAGTCGAACCTATGGGCATTCACGATAGCTTTACACTTGAAACCAGGAATCTTGAGACTTACAAGGAGAACTATTCGTACATTCAGACGGTTGCATTCTTGCGCCGGCTTTTGTCCGAAGCACGACCAAAACCAGAGTGGCTATGACCGATATAAACCCACAAGGGCTTTGCGACATTAATATAAGACTCGGGGTGCCTTTGTAAATAAAACTTTCTGCTTTGTACAACGAGTTTAAATTGCGTGAACACTAATCGCCCGTCACCGCAAATAAACTTTTCAGTTTTTTTTTTGTTAGAAATGGATTTCCTTGACTAGCTAATAGGATCCACTATTATTTAGTAGATGCAACCCACGTACGCTACATAAAGTAGCCGTACTAACGCATTTTTGTGCTGGTATATTATGTTTTTGGGCCTGGATAATTACGTAATCATTCAAATAATTAACCCTGTGTTTTGGCTACTAATGGGAGATGGGGTAAGATCGGTTTCTACGAAGTGGGGGATTGAGCGGAATCGATTCAGTCATAAAAAGTTTCACCCGAGCCAGATTTGGAAAAGGTGAAATATTTGGCCGATCCTACGAGTACTATGCTTCCAAGGTTAGTCTGAATCGCTTGAGTAGAGTACTTGCGTTGAAGATGGGCCCACATAATACCATTGTTAATATATTTGCGCCAGGCCTCTTCCCCACAAAAATTTCTGGCGGGTTTTTAGACTTTTTAGGGACGCTTATGTGGCAAACAAATCAAGGGGAGGGCGGGAAATTTCTAGGATTTATGGGGATCATCCAGTTCATGTGTGGTGGTATTGATAGTGGTTATCTTAATGGTGTCGCTTTACTAATTTACGGTGATATTTAATTGGCTAATCGTTTCTTTGAATAGTGAGTGTCTTTAATGACTATGCTCATTGCCAGAGTGCTCGGAGGTATCAGAATACCTAGAAATATAAGCTCGCCTAATTTTCATTCTAGCCTTAGACTGATGAGGCATACTCAGTCACTTTCCCTATAGCAGCTAGGAAATTGTTGTGTATATTTTCCAACTTCCTTCTTTTGGTTGTAAAATGATACACAATGTATTTGGTAGCGTGGGCTATGCTCAATTTTCCAGACTGGCAGTAATATATTTTCACGCGCGTGAGATTTAGGAAAGAAAATGCAGGAACCTGGAACTCGTATGACGAGTCACGAAGCTTAATTTTGCGGCTCCCTGCATAACCTGCAATCGCAAGCAAGCATATATACTCGCCAAAATTCGGAGTATATTTTAAACTCTTACCCTGCTATTCGCTTGGATCCACAACCCAATTTCTACATTCAATATGCCTCAACAAAAGACCATAGCCATAACCGGTGAAATGGCCGAAAGAGGCTACCAAGTCTATGCCTGTGCAAGGAGATTGGAGCCAATGGAAGAATTAAAGAAGTACGGCGTCAAGACCTTTACTTGTGATGTCACTGACTTGGAAAGCGTTAAAAAAGTCAAAGCTTACGTTGAAAAGGAGACCAACGGCAGACTTGACGTGTTGTACAACAACGCTGGCCAGTGTACGTACACAAATCATTATATCTTGAAGCAATTACTAATGCAACTCAACATGCATCTTTCCAGTGATCGACATTACTGACAAACAGGCATTGTAATGCTTCCAGGCCAACGTTCTTGGTCCGGTTAGAATGACACGAGAGTTATCTTTGCTTTTGATTGAAGCCAAGGGTATCATCGTCTTCACTGGATCTATTGCGAGTACCATGCCTTTCCTATGGGGCCCCATCTACGGTGCCACCAAGGCTGCGATTCACCAGTTTGCGGCTGTCTTGCACTTGGAGATGAAACCATTCGGCGCTAGAGTGCTCAATGTGGTTACTGGGGGTGTTAAGACGAATATCGCAGACACCATACCTTTCCCAGAGACCTCTGTCTATACCTGTCCTGAACTTGACGTTTCGATTGTTGAGAGAAGACAAATAGCCATAAAAAACTATCCAATGTTGGCCGAAACTTACACCAAGAAGGTTGTTGATGATATCGACTCCAACAGCAATAGGCTCAACGTCTACAGAGGGACCATGGCTACCATTTTTCCAACTCTTGTAACGATCATTCTACAATGTATCGTGGAAAGAATGGTTTCAGTGAAGTTCAAGTTGTTGCCACTCTGAGCTACCCTCAAGAAAAGATCTCCCAAGAAAGCGAATTAGTTTATGTGGATGACCTCGGTTTGTGGATATGCGCCTTACAGGTAATACCACACAGGAGTTGAATGTAAGACCGTCTAAATCTTCTGTACGCAAAAGGTTTAGAGTAGCCAGGATTTTCTCTCAGCTAATTATGTCTACAGTTACCTGCTAGATATACTACAAAATGAATAAACGGTTGAATTAATATAACCCAGTTCTTAACCTAGCTTCAGACACGCGTAGGAGAGAAATGTATTGAAGAGTAACAATATGATATCCCCATGCTGTAAAAGATCATGCGCCGAGGGTGTGATCTTGTCTTTCATAAGATCCTTCAAAGATAACAACCCAACCGTGTGAGAGATGTGCCAAATCTTAGAAATTACGCCTATGGTGTGGTACAGAATTCTCCACACTTGCGCCGCCCGTCCTAGGATAAACACTCATAAGGGAGACCTGTGCTAACTTTCATCAAAAGTCTTATATTACAGAAGGTGCGACAGCTAAGCCGGAAAAGTCTCGAGACAAAGAAAAACTATCCTACTTCTCGTATAGAGTGCTTTACAAGTGAAAAACCGTAGTTTGAATACCATCGTACGTGTGTAAGCATATGTCAGGAAAGCCTATACCCTTGCAACCCAGACCGGAGATATTCTACTCTGGATGGGGGGGGGGGCGTAAGCAGATTATTTCATCTAGATAGGGAGAATCTCATCAATTTTGACCGCAGGGCAAATTTGTCCCTTGATTCGCGTTACTTGAACCTAAACCTCTACGTTGAGCTGATGCTATCTTGGAGCATATCCTGTCGGCGCGTACCAAAGAGTAATCTCTCATTGACTATGCACTCGCAGCCGAATATCGTACAAAAAACCAAAGCATCTCTTCTGGTGGTTGTGGCAGGGTTAGCAATTCATGGTTGAGCGTTTTATACATATTTATCCGTGAAAAATTATATCTACATTACCAGGGTAGGTCGTATAGCAGGCGTCCGAGACAGTGTCGCAAACCGCGGATCTATTTTTATGCCTGGTGCATCAACATCTTGTGTACATTTTGACTCGAGCGAATCTTCATGCAGTGTATTGGTACAACGCGCCGGAGAGAACTTCATCCCGAACCCGAGCAACTAGCACATAGTGTATGTTCTCTATGACTCAAAAGTTTTTGTCTAACCTTTAGAGCTAGCTCAAGTGCCACTGGAATCGGATTTCAACAGCGATTAGATACCACAGTCAATATATAAGGTTAAGAGACATACCGATAGATTACTAATGGTGCAGCAATGGCAGTCTAAGCCTGGTGCCAACTATGAAAGAATCTAATTTGAGAGTCTACCGGGGAGTCGCACCGGGGTTGTCCTACTACTCACAATCTCTCGGCGTCAAGCACGCTTTCGGAGTGGATAAATACAAGATGCTGCGGGCTGGACCGGCTATTCTAATTCTTCCAGAGCTAGCACCCTGACGCCCCTCATAATATATGCAGGACAGTTCGTGATGTCTCTAATTTGTCACAAATTCTATCCAAAGCCACCGACCAGTGCTCCTCCGAAATACGAAAACCTCGCGTTTTATATTTCGCCGGTATAAGTTTACAAGAGAGAGATGATGGTGCAGACCTCCGTCGATCTACAGTTCTGTCTGATTCCCCACGTTTATTCTGCACGTACGAGCAAAAATGCACCTTAGTTTGCCCGTCGTTCTGTCCCACGCAAGTTACCCTACGCCTGCAGTGAATTTCTTTTTCTGTATTCCTGACATACATTCTACCAAATATTAGTAATAACCTTCTTAAGACAGAATGGTTTCTTAAACTGACGTCACTTCCCGCCCTTCCTTCTGCCCTTCTACCTTTCCTTTCTCCTACCTCCCTTTCTTCTCTCGGCTCTGTAGCGTATATATATAGAGCCCTCGTCCCGCGTAGCGCCATGTAGTTTTGCAGGCACCATTAAGAGTAATGTCCAGTCTCAATAATACGTCTAGTAGCATGGACGAAGCAGAGAAGTACAATGACTCTGCCAAAAAAGCCTCCGTGAGCCCACTTTCAGGCTCTGACTCACTGGAGCACGACTTTGTTGCCGACCCACACGCTAGAGACGAAGCCACCCGGATTATGACCAACCCCGCGATTGTGGAGCGTTTGACCAGCTACACCGAGAGGTTGTCCCGCCACACCACGAGAGACCAGCCGATTGTGATTGACCCTGAAGACTTTGACTTGCAGTTGATCCTCTCCTTGTTTGTGAAGCGTGCGTCTGCCCAGGGAATCCAACTTCGCTCCTCCAGCGTCGCCTTCACCGATGTGGCCGCCTACGGGATTGACGAGTCCGTCTCTTTCGCCCCAACGGTGGGGAACATCCTCAACCTCCCCGGCACAATAATCGAGCAGATCAAGAATCGCAGAACCCCGGAACGTAAGATTCTCCACGAAATGGCTGGGTTGGCCCATAGTGGTGAGATGGTGCTTGTTCTCGGGCGTCCGGGCGCCGGGTGTTCGTCCTTCCTCAAGACCATTGGGGGAGAGACTGCCCAGTTCACTCACACGTCCGGTAACGTGTTGTACGACGGGATTCCACAGGAAGACATGTTGCGTGACTTCAAGTCCGACTTGATCTACAACCCCGAGTTGGACAACCATTTCCCGCACTTGACCGTCGACCAGACCTTGCGCTTCGCCATCGCCTGTAAGACTCCAGAGCTCCGCGTCAACAATGTGAGCCGTGAGAAGTTCATCACTGCGATGCGCGACCTCCTTGCGACCGTGTTCGGGTTGCGCCATACCTACAACACCAAAGTCGGTAACGACTTAGTGCGGGGTGTGTCCGGTGGTGAGAGAAAGAGAGTGTCTATCGCCGAGGCCCTTGCCGCCAGAGGCTCCGTCTACTGCTGGGACAATGCCACCAGAGGGTTGGACGCTTCCACCGCGTTGGAGTTTGCCCAGGCGATCAGAACTTCCACCAATTTGCTCAAGTCGGTTGCGTTTGTAACCGCCTACCAGGCCGGTGAGCAGATTTACGAGTTGTTTGACAAGACCATGGTGTTATACGCCGGGAGACAGGTTTATTACGGGCCGGTGACCGAGGCCAAGAAGTACTTCGAGGACATGGGCTTCCAGTGTCCCCCAAGACAGTCCACTGCCGAGTTCCTCACCGCCATCACCGACCCCATCGGGAGATTCGCCCAGCCTGGGTACGAAAAGCGCGTGCCACACACCGCCGAGGAGTTTGAAAAGTACTGGCACGAGTCCCGCGAGTACGCCAAGTTGACCGGTGATATTGCCGCTCACAACGCCAAGGTCAATGTCGACGAGACCAAGCGCGCGTTACACGCAGCGCAGAAACAAGAGAAGATGAAGCACAACAGAGCCAAGTCTCAGTTCACCTTAACCTACTTGGCACAGTTGCGTTTGTTGACTATCAGAGGGTTCCAGCGGAACTGGGGTGACAAGGCCTACACCATCACCCAGGTGGCAGCTGCTATAATCCAATCGTTGATCACTGGGTCTTTGTACTGGAAGACACCTGAGGGGACTTCCGGTGCGTTTTCGCGTGGTGGTGTCCTTTTCTTTTCATGCTTGTATTTTTGCTTCATGGGTATCGCCGAAATGGCCAACTGTTTCGCCAAGAGGCCGATCGTCCAGAAACAGAAGTCGTACTCGTTCTATCACCCGTCTGCCGAAGCCTTCTCCTCGGTGTTGACTGATTTCCCCACCAAGCTTATCACCATCATTTTCTTCTCCATCATCTACTACTTCTTGACCAACCTTGCGGTTGACGCGGCCAAGTTTTTCATTTTCTTGTTGTTCATCGTGGTCTCCGCCTTGACCATGTCGTCGTTCTTCCAGATGATTGCTGAGTTCAACCAGAGTTTTGCCGGCGCCAACGCTGTTGCCGGTTGCAGTATCTTAATGACATTAATGTATGCCTCGTTCATGATCCAGAGACCATCGATGCACCCGTGGTTCAAGTGGATCTCCTACATCAACCCATTGTTCTACGCCTTCGAAGCCATCATCACCAACGAGTTCCATGGCAGGGAAATGGACTGTGGCTCCTCGCTTATTCCAAGTGGTGGTCAGTATACCAGCATCTCGTCTGTCTACAAGTCGTGTGCTTTCAAGGGCTCTGTGGTCGGCCAGTCTTGGGTTTCCGGTGATGCCTACATGAAGGTCAACTTCCAATACAGCTACTCGCACGTCTGGAGAAACTTGGGCATTCTCATCGGATTCTGGATCTTCTTTACGTCTTTGAAGATTCTTGCAACGGAGTACAAGAGTCCAATGAAAGGCGGTGGTGACAGATTAATGTTCAAGAAGGGTACGTCCAAGGACACTGTGATGATCATGTCTGCAACCAAAAAGACCAGTGATGTGGAAAATGGTAACAATGCTATGTTTGACAACGCTCCGCAAAGAATCTCCACCGGTGCCAGAAAGGTCTTTGAAGACTTGGGTGGCGAGGACGTGTTTATGTGGCAGAATGTTGACTACGTGATCGACATCAAGGGCGAAAAGCGTAAGCTTTTGGACAATGTTCAGGGCTACGTTAAGCCAGGTACCTTGACCGCGTTGATGGGTGAATCCGGTGCCGGTAAAACCACTTTGTTGAACGTCTTGTCTCAGAGAGTCGACATGGGAGTCATCACTGGTGACATGCTTGTGAATGGTAAGCCGATCGACAACTCTTTCCAGAGAAGAACCGGTTACGTGCAGCAGCAGGATTTGCACGTGTCTGAGTCCACTGTGCGTGAGTCGCTCCGTTTCTCTGCCAAGTTGCGCCGTCCAACCTCCATCTCTGATGAGGAAAAGTTTGATTATGTCGAGAGGATCATTGAGATCTTGGGTATGACCAACTACGCCGATGCCATTGTCGGTGACGTTGGCTATGGGTTGAACGTCGAGCAGAGAAAGAAGTTGTCTATCGGTGTCGAGTTAGTTGCCAAGCCCTCTTTGTTGTTGTTTTTGGACGAGCCAACTTCTGGTTTGGATTCGCAGTCCGCCTGGGCTATTGTCAAGCTTATGCGCGACTTGGCTAACGCCGGGCAGGCCATTTTGTGTACCATTCACCAGCCGTCGGCTACTTTATTCGAGGAGTTTGATCGCCTTTTACTCTTGAAGAAGGGCGGCCAAACCGTCTACTTTGGTGATATCGGCAAGCACTCCCAGGTCCTTTTGGACTACTTTGAGAGAAATGGCGCCCGCCAGTGTGGGCGCTCGGAAAACCCAGCTGAGTATATCTTGGAGTCTATTGGGGCCGGTGCTACCGCCTCTGTGCACGAAGATTGGTTCCAAAAGTGGGTCTCCTCGCCAGAATACGCCGATACCACCGAAACCATTTCCAAATTGATTCAGGAAACTTCCCAGATTGTCTCCCAGACCCCTACCGAGCAGTTGAACAGCACCTATGCCGCTCCTTACCTCGTGCAGTTGAAGACAGTGCTTGGTAGAACCATGATCCAATTCTGGAGATCTCCAGACTACATCATGTCTAAGCTTGTGTTGATGATTTTCCCTGGTTTGTTTATCGGCTTCACGTTCTGGGCGCTCAAGAACACCTTGACCGGTATGCAAAACGCCGTCTTTGTTGCGTTCTTGTCTGTCGTGACCTCCACGCCGTTGATTAACCAGATCCAGGATCGTGCCTACGCCTCGAGAGAGTTGTTTGAAGTGAGAGAAAGCAAGTCTAACACCTACCACTGGTCCACATTGTTGCTTTCGCAGTTCATCACTGAGCTTCCATACTGCATAATCGGCTCCACTTTCTTCTTCTGCTGCTTGTACTTCCCATTGAGAATCGACAACAGTGCGCTCTTTGCTGGTAATTACTTCTTGAACTACTCCATCCTCTTCCAATTGTACTACGTGTCTTTCGGCTTGCTTGTGATTTACATTTCTCCTGATTTGCCATCTGCCAATATCATCTCCGCCTTGTGTTTCACCTTCATGATTTCCTTCTGTGGTGTCGTGCAACCATTTAAGTTGATGGGCTGGTGGAAGTGGATGTACCACGTTTCCCCATACACCTACTTTGTTGCGAACTTTGTGATGTTGGTGTTGCGTGACAGAAAGGTTGAGTGTTCCTCCGTCGAGATGGCTTACTTCAACCCACCAAATGGCCAAACCTGTCAGGAGTATGCAGGTAACTACATTACTGACAATTCTGGTTACTTGAGCAATCCTGATGCCACCTCTGCTTGTGGCTACTGTAGCTACAAGTCTGGTGATGAGTACTTGAAGGCTATCAATACCAACTTTGGACAGCTCTGGAGAAACTTTGGGTTGCTCTGGGTCTACATTTTTTTCAACATCTTTGCCATGGTGCTTACCTACTGGCTCTTCCGTGTCAAGAAGTTCTCCTTCGGTAAGAAGAAGGCTTAGGCGGGAACCTTCCTGTTTCATTAGTCTCTACGCGTTGACCAGGGGACGCGAGACAGGGTTTCTCTTGTGTTTCATTTTTATTCCTTATGCCAATTGTTTAATATTTGTCCTATACATATCTTATGTTCCAATTTTACAAGTTAAAACTGTAAGATAGTATATGAGATTGTTTCATTAGCCTTAGGCGTGGAAGCTTTTGGGTAATGTATTATGTGATATATACCTACTCGATAGGTGGGATACCTATTTAGTTAGCTCTATATTAGCTTGCAATATAGTGTATATAGGAAGAAAGAACCGCCAGACTTACATAGGGTATGAATTACTTCCATCTGACAATGAAACACTTAAAACAGTTTATATAAATGGAATAAAGTACAAAAGTAAGAAGTATTACTGATAATGGATATATGTGACTGAATTGGGTCAACACCGCTAAACTTCAAATATATTCCGCTGAAAGCCGCGAGGTAGAGAACTATTTAGTAATCGTAGCTGGTGCTAGGACGGGTGGATAGTAATAACACGAACTAACAATTGAGCGAATATCTTGATAAATGAAGTGGGGGTATTACTCGCTTGTGAGTACTAGTCTCTATGATAGAATAGCATACCAAATGTTTACTAAACAAGAAAAAGATTCTAGAAAAGCTACCAAGTAATCGTATGCGGTACCGCTACGACTATTTTCTCCGTGGGCAAATGCGGACTACCATACCATTCAGACCAGACATCTGATGCAGATACCCTTTTGATCATAAGGTGGCAGAATTGAGCTACGATATATATAAGTAAATATAGCTGTATAAATGAGTATAGAAATATTGTTGATATATAAATATACGTATATAGACATGAACACATATTTAAATATAAATATATATAAAAGTATTTAAATAGATATATACACTATTAATTTTTGGAATATAAAAAGGCGTATCAAATGTAGTCTATTCAGGCCGCATGTTATAGATGTATCATTTGAAAGACAAACAAGAGAAGATTTCACATATATAGCTCATGAATACAACAGATAGAATGACTAAATGTATAATAACAGATAAATCTTAGAATAAGTGTCTACATAAGCTGTTTAGCCCAGATACGGTTATATACCAAAGTCAACGGGAGTATGTGCAAATGATAGAGTAGATTGAGATATTGAGGATAAGTACAGATAGTTGGTATGGAGAGTTACTAGAGTGGGTAGATACAGAGAGTAGCTATGAAGTACAGCAGTAGAGTGTAGTATTAGGGAATAACTAGATAGTAAATACAGAGTAATTAGAGAAAGTACTTAGAGAGAGTAGCAATAGGAAGCAGGTACGGAGGGTAACATTTGAGGTTGGGTACAGCAAGTAGATACATAAAGTAGATATAGAGAGTAGATCGGCATGAAGGAGAAAGAATCAACCAGAGGGTCGAAAAGAACAATGTGGTGACGGGAACCAAAGTGTACCGATAGAAAGAAGGGGATATAGAGGTTGAGGCGATGTAATGAGCGGAGAGAGGCTAAAAATTGGAAGAAAGAGAGGGCATGGCGTTTGAATGAGACGAGGGAGATGAAATAAGGAAGAGAAGAAGAGAAGGGTATGAAGAGGGTAGGATAAGAGAAGAGTAGAATGAGGAAAAGAGAGAATAATTAGATGAGGGGAGTGTAACAATAGATTGAGAGTAGATGAGTGAAATGGGAGAAGAGTAGAGCGAGAGAAGCAAGTACAGAGAGTAAGAGAAGAGTAGAAGAGTAGAAGAACAGAAGAAGTGGAGCAAGAGTGGAAAAAGAGTAGTAGAAGAGAAGATTAGGAGAGGGGAGAATATGAGAAGGAAATAAGAGAAGAGAGTAAGAGAGTAGGACAGGAGATGAGGGTAAGAAAGTAAGAAAAGAGATGAGGGTAAAAAAGTAGGATAATAATGAAGAGTAGGATAAGAGAAGTGTGAGAGTATGAGATGAGTAGAGTTGAATGAAGAGTAAGAGTAGGTCACGAGAGGGAGGAAGGAATGGAGTAAAAAAAGAGGGGTATAAAAGTTGAACAATAGAAGGATAAAATAATAATAAAATAGAATAAAGGTAAGCATTAAAGGGGAGAATAATAGTAGAGTATGAGAAAGAGAGGAGTAGGAGAAGAGTGTAGTAAGAGTTGAGAGAAGTAGAAAAGGAATAGAATAAGAATACGAGAGTAGGAGGAGAGTGGAATACGAATAGGTGAAATTTAGAATAAGATAGTAGTGGAGTAGGAGTAGGATTAGGAGTAGAATAGGAATTAGATAGTGTCTGGATGGGGGTGTCTGGATGGGGGTGTCTGGATGGGGG